CTATTCAATTCTAGTTTGTTCTATTCTTAAATTGAAACGAATTTAACACTACTAGAAAAACCCATCAACGCTTACAGTAATTCTTTTTCATCATGAAACTGATGTTAGTAAGAGCAAACGTTTTTATGTTAAGCCATTGAATTATTAACATCTAGGAAAAGTTATCCTAACAACAAAGTTTACCATTAACTGAGACAATTCACCTCTTACCTAACAAATTTACAACATACTGGTCATATCGAAAGTATAGAAATACGTTGTAATGAAATTTAATTCTTCAATTGATATTTTTTTTAAATAATTGAATCCAAAAAAAATATAAAATAGAAATTCAGTGTTTATCATATTCTAATCAATGTACATGATCTATGATTGTCTTATTTGATCAAATAATATATATATACATATGCAAGTATCTTTTTATTTAAAAAATTATCTTCCAATGAATTCGCCATTTGATTACCTTGCATTAAAAAAATCCGGGACATTTTACGATTATTTTATTTAAAAAAACGAACAAATTTTAGTGTCTAATGTAAAATCAATTTACATTTTGTATGCATAAAAGAGTTTTCATGAAATCATAACTAATTGTCTATTGTAATTATTCAATAGTCATTAGTTATGTGGGTGTGTGTGTGCGCGCGCGCTCATGATTATCAAATGAAATAATTAAAAGCACAATACACAAATACAAATATAATAGACAAATTCTAATCATTGATAAGCATTGAGAATCTAAGGAATTGTTTCTAGTTAATGATAGATTAATAGACAAGAGACATCGTATGGTTCACCGATTTTCTTGATCAATTACTTATAAGATCTCTGTCTTTACAAGTGTACGCATGTCTACAAACCACTCTAACTAAACAACTGTATCTTCATAAATAAAAGAATTTGTCAAAGTCCCATGACATGTCTCGAAACCGTTTGCAATGGAGCCGGTGCATTTATTCTATGTGTTCTCTCGAATCCTAATCTTCTGGATACTTCTAGTTTCGTCTTCTAAACTTATCTCACTGAATCATACTTCTTGAATAATATCTTCTAATCCTAACCTCTCCGATCACTTCTAATACCTTTACTACCTCTTCTACTATTGGATTTGAATTGACAATTATATCTCTGTGCTGATGTGGTACGGCAACATGAATTGATGTACGTACGTACGAAGTTCTACGTTACATCTGACTGACATTAAGAAGTCGCGCTTAAGAGTTGTTAAGTGCATGCGGAAAAAAAATTAACTTATACGTTCGACTTTAATTCTGCAGGCGTACTGTGATGATATCTCAGAATTGAACAAAACAATCGTACTCAAATAGAATCAGCTAATATATGAAAATTTCTCCAAAACTGAATTAATTGATAATTTGACTGAAGTTTAAAGTTATTTCCTCACCGTGAATTCAGACACAATCAGTCATTTAATAGTTTTTTTTCACTTTAATTTTCTCCAACAGACAACGATTGTCATAGTTTTTCTTCGAACGTATACTTTACTATTGACAGATTACTAATTTCGAACTATTTTACCCTTATTTTTGTGGTAGAAGTTTGAAGAATCATACAATTAAAAAATTTCTTGCTTCTTTGTATTATTGTTTCATTCTCCAAATGATCTTGATTACGGTATTTTTTTTCATTTAAAAACTAAGCATTTAGTAATTTTATTTTGTGCGATACAATGAAATCATTTCTGAGAGTTAATGCTATTGAAAGACAAGTCAAAATCATGAAAGAATATGGAGAAGAGAGTAAAAACAAAGGAATGGATGAAGACAGTTTGAGGAAATTTGTCGAATTTTTTTATAAAAATTCTCATTCCTATTTTATTCATGAGTAAACGAAACTAATTCAAAAGCTTTTATTTGTATGAATGACTAGTTTGATTTTTCACAAAGTGACGGATATTAATGTTGGTTAAGAGAGCTCTGCTTTGTGCATAGACGTATGAATATTTCCGTCATTTGAAAATTCATGCAAACGTATAGATTTTTTCAGATAATAATTTTCTGTGACAATAGATATTGAAAAATCAGACAAATATACTAGAGAAATCTATTTTATTTATGTATATCTAGTTGAAATATGGTAGAAAATGTTTGCTTAAGTTCGTGATGAACATTTTCAAATTGAATTGCAATTTGATTAGATGTGTCATGGTAATATACGAGAGCTTATATAATGTTTGTTAATCACCGATGTTGGTAACTGACGTCCTGTTTAAAAAATTCGACCACTTTTGAATATAATTACATGAAATATAAAAAGGAAAAATTTTATGCAAACCTCCCTATTGTAAACAAACTACCATAGATTTGTACTTTTTTATTACTCAATAATATGTCTGATTCAATCAGCTTGAAATTGTTTAAAATTACTCATACATGTTGCATACTTTTTTAGCTTAACCTTCAATTGTAATGACTACGTTATCTAATTGATCGATTTTCTGGTACTAGACATTTCTTACTCTATGGCTTCATAACACTATCAAACGTCAGAAATATCAACTCTTCAAGACCTATGATACCTATATGCATCAAACAAAATCGCTGTTTACTGTTTGTAAAAACCTCTTACCAGTTCAAATACATTTGTTCTCTTAAAAAGCTACACATCATGCCACTTTTTCAATCAAGAGAATAATCGGTGCTGATTTGTTAAAAAATAAATTTAACGAAACGTTGATAGGAATAAAACTAGGCTGAGATTAAAAATTAACGATGTTAGGCAAAACTCGTCCATCTAGTCTTAATAGTACACTATAAAACCCTACAGTCAGCCGAAGAATAGGGCTACCCGCTGTATTATCAGCATATACTACACACTTGACCAATATTTGTATTTCAAAAAACCAGCAGATGATCAACAAGGACTTTTGTTTCATCATATTTCGTTTATATCTATAAATCAAGAAATAAAAATTCTCTATCCTTAATCAGATGAAAGTTATGCTACGTTTCCAATTAAATAGAATATATAACAAAAGCAAAGTGTTTTTATTAGTTTGTGATACATGTAAGGATTATATCGCGTGTTTGTTGATTTAATTAATATGTTTTTTTATTATTTCCGTAACTGTGAATTAAAACTATATATATATATAATATATATATATATATATATATATATATATATATATATATATAATATATATATAAGCGAACAGCATTGTTTTCAGTTAGATCTTCACCAGGTTCTACTCTAATATACAAACAATAATATTCATCTGAAATTATTCAACCAGTCAAAATAATTTATGATCCAGGGATACCAGTGGAATAAAAATTACAAACTGATAGTGTGATGACAGGTGTACTAGTTATGCTAAGAAAAGTAAAAGCCTACTCTATGACCGATATCGATCAAGTGTAACAGAACTAAGCTGAGTATTGTTTTGATGATTCCCTATCCAAACTACGAAGGGAGCCGTTCGCTTACTTGTTGCCTTAGTTGTCTGGTTGCACACCCTATATAAATTACTCCACAGGAGCGGCTGAATTCGTAGATACACATGGATGTGGCGAAACCAGGCAACTTATCCTTTGAATAAGGACATTTGTTATCTGTATTCAAATTCTTCTTTTTTCCTTTAGTCAATATATCTCGAAGTACGTCACTAGCTATATCCTCAATGAATAATAGCTTTAGGAAGAGAGGTTTCATATCACCGTCAATATCTTTATTTTCCCGTTCATAGTATGCAGATGGTTCTTCAGAAAACTTAGCATAAATAATTTCAGTCAACACACTATAAATGAGCTCCAGCTCCATGTTTATGTTGTCTTTTGAGTATACCTTCCTAGCTCTACTGGCAGGACGTCTTACTAGGTTTCTTATGTAATAAGTCGGTACAGAGCTCAAGAATTTTGTGTACTGGCTTCTGAATACACTTCTGCTGACAGAATCATTTTCTTTTCTGTTTGATAAAACGTCAGGAAAATGTAATTTATTAGTTAGTTTCTCCTCATACATAAATCTAATTGTTAAATGTATGTTGTTAAATTGCTTCTTTAACAACTATTGGACCAATGATGATGAACGGCAATAAAAGTTGAGCTTGTCAATAAGCTCCTTGAGAGATCAGTTTTTTAGCTTTGCGAGGAGGAAATCAGCAAGAATAGGACCTAGAGGTGAATCCATCACTATTCCGTCAATTAATACATAACGTATGTCATTAAAGACAAAATGATCTTTCATTGAGCATTCTTTGAAACTGATCTCGAAAATTTTAATAAGGATTTGTTTTCTGATAGTTACTGACACAAGGCCGATCGTCTCAGTTGATGGTACATTGGTAAATAAGAGCGCAACATCAAGGGAAATTGTCCGCTTCCCATTTTAATCAATATGTTCCCTTTGGAAATGTAAACAAAAACGTCTTTAATGCTTCCATTAACAAGTAATTTGTTCAGCAAACCTAGGGTTCATACTAACGATTTTCCACTTTTATGTTGTGCAGAATTATATAAGTCTAAAACTGAACAAAGACGAAGTCTTGGTTTGTGGACTTTGGTTAAACCATATAGCCTTAATATGTTTGATCCCTTTTTCTTTTCTAAGCATATGCAAAGCATCTCGGTATTGTTCGATAACTGGGTATTTCACAGCATGTTTACGTTTTTGTGTTATCGGCAAATGTGTTGACCAACGTGGCCTTAAATCTAGTGCATTCGGATGACTAGTAAATTACCTAGACTGGTTTAATAATTTCATATATTCATAGGAATACCATAGTATACTCGAGTAAAGCGAGATGAAGATCTATTTGAAAACAGTATTATTTGCTTATATATGTTGATCTTTATGGTAGACCAGACGTATCTCAGTTCACTACTGGTAACTATTTCAAAAGGTCACTTGTTTTTAGGTTGGAAACAAACCACCTTATCACTGTGGTAACCGAGTTTTACTTCCTCTAGAAAAAATCTAAACGAAACAAATCATAACCACCACTTCAACATTTTTCTTCAAATGTTTTTGTTTAACAGTTCCATCTGAAGCACCGCAACTTGTTCAAATAACTAATGAAGGTAAAGGTCCGCGGGTTGATATTGGTCCATCTAGACCTGCAATCGTTGATGATGGAAGTATTATGGTTCTCGAATGTATTGCTCGTCATGGAAAACCGGGAGCACTGCTTACGTGGTTCATTGACGGTGTTCAGATAAAATTGGAATCGAATCCTGACAGTATACCTGGATCGTTTGTTTCTGGATTCTCTGGTAATTTAACATTTCGACTTGAAGCATCTGCTAGAATTCCAAGACTGTAAGTCTACTATATTCCTATGTTTATACATATTTTTAGATTATAAACATTGTATTGATGATTTCTATCCATTTAATGGCTTTTTTTATAACAGACACAAATTTTATTCAACAGTTTGCCACTAAATGAGTGCTTTAGTTAACAAAATGTGAATTCCTTGAGCTGGCTAATTGTTATTGTTAGGTTCATCACTAGGTATGCTTGAAACTATTACGGACTCACCTTAGTCGATAACGCGAACGAGACAATGAACCAACCTCCAGGTAGGCTGCCCTGATCTAATGAGTAATGAAAAGTCTTGATGTAGCGTAGAAAATATATTCTACAAACACCCAGCAAGCACAAAACTCTAGTTTATTTATAAATCATAGAAATGTCCTTGGGACAGTCACAAAAATACCGCACTATAATACACAGCAGCCAATCACAGCCAAGGATTTTCCTGCTGGGAAATGAAATCTCAAGGTCAATTGTCTCAGCCCATGCTCTCAAACGTGAAATCCAAAATAAGGCATTTATCAAGCGAGTTCTGGGGATCTAACGTCTCCAACCGTTATATCATATGAAGACTAATGATCAGGCAACTTTATACCATAAAGTTGATTATTCCGAATAAATATCTCTTAATCTCACTACCCATCAATTGAAACACTCAACCGTCCATTCACAAATATGTTATACTTCTCCGCGAAAACAGGTTGACCTAAAATTAGTATCATCGAATGCCGTATTATGAGAAAAACGTAAAGAAGTGATCGAAATATGTTAAGTAATATAGATAAACAAATGAACTACTGAATGAGATATATGCAAAGTCAGTTGGATTATAGACGTTCAGTTGAATGACCATCTAGTATATGAATGAAAGATGCAATATGACACTACTTATCTCAATAACTATGCCTTCAGTTCATTTTATTACTGTTATCTCTTTACTTGTAATTCATTAGTTATTATTTGTGATTAGATGTAATTTTAGCCATTACACCACAGTTTTTGTGTTGTTTCAAACTATCGAGTTGTTTTTTTATACCCCTGATACATTTTTATACATCCCAAAATTTTTTGTATTCAATCATTTTTCAAATACTCTTAGTCACAAGTTAGGTCTACCGATTTCGGACAATATTAAAGATTTAAAGATTTCGATATAATATGTAGAAGGTTATTGCTTAGATTTACAAATTTTTTTGACGGTGCTGATCTTCTCTTTATAATGAGTTCATAAGTTTACAATCCAATACATGTTCTCACTTTTCAAAACAAAATAAAAAATAACCATAGACAAATGATAAATGCATTCGATTTTCAATCATTATATCAATAATTACAAGTTGAGTAGTATGTCTTGCCATCACACAAACTGTACAGAAACTCATACTTACGGGATGAGAATTTAATTTATTACAAAATTTTCTGGCTATCGGTAAGGATACAAAAAGTCTACTAACAATTAGAAATGTTAACAGTGGTAGTTTTATCTCACTGTATCTAGTACATGATGTTGACAACAGAGTAACGTTGCCAAGTACTTATTATTACAGTTAAGAGCTTTTCTAAATCTCCTATCTCAATTCCCTCATTGATTGTTGAAATAATTTTACAGCTTGTGTTAGTTCCATACTGGTTTAATACTTAGACAGATGAATAAATGTTTGGACAGACAAATATGTACAAAAATACCTTAACTAGTAAACATGGTGTCTAAACTGTATGTAATACAATTTTAATTATATCGATCGTCTATCGGCATTGTCTGTTTTAAATTCATATGAAGTATGTATTTTATAAACAGACGATAGATAAATAGGTGTACGTGGTAAATTTGACAAAGCTTAAAATGGATCAGTGTGGGTAAAATTAACTTTCAGTTGTGCTATTTATAATTTATTAAAAATTTATTAAAACCCTCTTGTCTGGCTTAATTTTAGCTATATATCATGAACATTTTCTACTCCATTTATATTGATATCCATTTTAATTACATTTACCACAAATATGATGAAAAATCAAGAAATATTTTTTCGTATATTTTAACTATGGACCGTAGTGAAATCCTTACTTGCTTACCTGCTTGCTTACACCTGTAACCTTCACCCACCACAGAGTACAGACAGCCGACGTAGTGAAATCCAAAAGGGGCATATTTCGTTTTATTTATAACTTGCCAGCTAATTAGCTTTTCAATTTCAGCCATATGTGTATGTCCCCCACTCCAATTATCGTACAATTACTCTATAAGTTGGCGTTATTTTTTACCCCTGAGCAATAATATAAAAAAGTTTAACTTCAAAGAGGAAACACTATAACACCCTGGAAATAATACCTTTAAAAAAAATACTTCCAGTTTATATAAGCTAGTTTACAAGCTAGATGATTTCGTTAACATCAGAGCATATTTTTTCAGAATAGTTTTTATCACTAATTGTTATATAAGGTCTTCGATGAAAACAATATCCAGTTCTACCTGGATTCGATGTATTTTACAGCTGACGTCAATTAGTGATGAATGTCTGCTTTGAACAATTCACTCTTTCACTATATAAGAGAATTAAATTCATCATATACACAAAGTGTAATTCATTCTGTAGATTTCATTTTTTTTCTTTACTTATTGTAAATATCATTCTTTTTTATCTATAGAAATGTATACTATACCTGACATTGTGTAAATATCTGCTAATCAATCGATTGGATGGCATTTGTTAAGCGTAATAAATCATACAATGGTTATTTTCACCTAGATGAATAGATATATAAATATGTATATATATGCATTGACTCGCATAAATTAATTAATACTCTAATGTCTATAACAGCTGCTGTAATGGTTTGTGAATATAAATTAACTAGAAGATGATGAAAGAAAGCGAAAAGCGAATTATCATCATCATCATTCTCAGTAATTGTTTTTTCCAGTATCTACTTCATTTCTTCATAAAAATTAGATTAATGATATTCGTTAGACTAATGACTTTGCACATTTTCACACTGATATTTAAATTTTTATTCATATTGACAGAGAAATTACTTGGATATTGTGAAATAAGTTACCACTAACATATATATATATATATATATATATATATATATATATATCAGTAAGAAAGATTTACTTGAAAATAACCTTAATAGACTTAATTAACTTTTCGTTACTTCTAACACGTTGACACAAACCCTGGTTTTCAATAAACACCCTTATAAATCAACCATACTATGGCAAATCAGTGTCAATGGTAATCAATTCCTTTTGCATTGTATTCAGGCAAAATTAAATAATGCCTATACAAGTTTAGATTATAGGTTTTCTTTTGTTCTTCGTTCTGTTTATGTGTTTTCGTTTCTGACAATATTGATAATTAAACAAAAAAGCTTATATTATTATCTATGATCATTATGTATCACAGGATTTTGCTACAATCGATTCCAATGTAACTCTATGAACTCCAGTCAAAATAGCTTCATTATTTTTGCGCAGAGTTTTGAAGGTTTGTGTTTTTACACATTTGAGATCATCAATCAGTCATTGTAAGACCACCATTAGAAACCTGGCAGCACTGGACGGCCGTTTCGTCCTGGTATGGGACTCATCAGTAGTGCGCGACAATCATTGATTGATGATTTAAAATGTGTAAAAACACAAACCTCCAAAACTCTGCCCGAAAATATCGTAACAGTGCTCACTAGTGACTAGCTTCGTGAGGAAATTCTCGGAGTTCTAGTTGAGAAGACGTGACCAATGAAATTCAACCCTGTCAGGTGTAGGCAGTAACTACCAAAGACAAATGGGTGAGGTCACGCAAGATCTGTAGATCAATCAGAGTTAGACATTAACACCGTTGGATGGCGGCCCAGTGGTCCGATGGTTAGGCATTCGCGCACAATACCGAAGGTCCCGGGTTCGGATCGTGCGAGGTGCAGGAGTCGTGGATGCGCATTGCTGATGAGTCCCATACCAGGACGGAACGACCGTCCAGTGCTTCCAGGTTTTCAATGGTGGTCTAACTTCATTATTATCGTTTGTACGGTTTACATGTAAATTAAGAACTGTGGAAATGTCATAGTACCGATCAATCATTGAATAAAAAAATTCAGTTTGTTTTTGCATTTTTTCAACTTGATGACCATTTCCAATATGATGAGACCATTTTTTGGGCAGATTTATCTCACTGCCAATTTAATAAACGCTTTGGATTTCTGTTTAGACTTAAATCTTTCAGGAGTTTTTATATTTGTCGAAGAAATCATTTTCAAAATCATAACTGCTTATTCATTATGTGTAATTAAGTGTTCAGATCTACTAGTTTGCATTAAATGTTACACAATTTCTAGATTTTCTACATGACAGAAAAATAAATAACTTTTATCTCTTCTGATTTATTCCTGTTTATGTTAGTTAATTCTTACTTATTTGTAACATACTTTTTAAAAGTGCAAATAAATTGTTAGTCAACACCAACTACGTCATTATTATTATAATGATTATTCTCATGATCAGTTTGTAGCAAAATAAAATTCCCAACATCGAATGATTGAGAAGAAAAAAGTGAAAAGTTTTTTTTAGGTACAAGCAAACCAGAATGCTGGTAAATAAAGAATCTGTTGTAAAAATTCAAACAAATAATATTACGGATTCCACTGAGTACACACATACTTCAGATGTATGACGATATCTTCAAAAATAAATCAATAATAAATGCTCAACTACACGATATGATCAACAATTCAAACCCTTAAGTGTTGCCATTGAGATTTGACTGAATCACTAGATTTTATTATATTTTTTGTATAGAATAATTTAAAGAAATGCTTATTTTCGGAAAAAGTAGTGATAATTAAAGCTTTTCCAATCCACTGCTTACGTCATTTATAACTTCAGAAGCATGCTAATGGAAGAGCGTAGAAACAAAGATTTGAACATTCATTTTATTTTGTTTGGTTCGCATCAGCTGCTTGTAAGCTGTAATATTACAAAATGAGTTTAAGTTACTCGTTTGGAAGATTTTAGTTGGAAGTTGCACACATCGGTATAGTTCAACAAGAGAAAAGAAGAATTGATCCACACTGTCTGTACGTTACCTAAACTCCCGGCCAACAAAACGACAAAAAGGTATGAAAAACCCAAAAAACTAAAACCTAATCTGTGGAATGTTTGTGGACGTGCACAGAAAACCAAGCTCCACCAAATTGTTGGCCAGCTAAATGAACACGGTAACCCCTTATCCGTTTTAACCGAAACGAGACCACTATCTAAACAAACCACCTTAGGTAGACACACTATTTTATATAACAGTAACCCAGAAATCAACGTTCATTAGGAACACTGGTGTCGAATTCTACATAAACAACCGAGAAGAGATAATAACAACAGATTTCAAATCAATCAGTGGAAAAATATCTACAGTACAAATATACAGCGAAACAGCCAAGCAAACTATCAGTCTGATAGGATGTTATTCCCCAAATAAGTCATCTACTGACAATAGAGAGAAGCCATTCTACTTTAAGTTCCAATACATATTAAACGACCTCAAAAAAACTAGTACATCCTGGGTCACGTCAACTTTTGTTTAGGCTTCGAACTCACCAAAAGTTATTCAAACATCATAGGAAAACATATTATTGAAGAAGATGAAACCCCACTAAATGGTGTACGCATAACAAATCTCTGAAAAGGAGAAGAGTTTAATCTAATGAACGCATTTACAGACAAATTAAAATCTGAAAAATACACCTGGGTCCATCCAGGTACCTCCACAAGCCATATAATTGACTTAAAGCTAACCGAACACAAATTCTACATTCAGATATGTGATACACATAGTAGTTGTCTGTCAACTACCCATGCTATCAGCATAATAAGACATGTAATTCGATGCGGACTGGATAGAAAACAATAATTAATAATAACATTCATAAATCTCAAAAAAGTCTTTGATACACTGCTTAAACAATTAGTTACAGACTCCATGCAGAAGGCGTCCACGTCATATGATGTATATTAGAATCACATAAAACTACTAGACAAACCAAAACGACTGGGTTACACTTGAAGCGATCCTGAATGCTGCAAGATGAATGATTCTTGACCTGAATGGCATACACAAGTTACTTCTAATTAACTTCACAATAATGAAATCGCTATCCAATCCAGTCAGCAAAGTGTTGCAAAATAGACCCATCTTATGGCATAATTCACACAAACGGCCGGATAACCTAATGGTGAGGCTTTTATCAAGTCATATGCAAGTAAAGCTCATACTATGAACTCACACAAGCAGTCTTACCTGAAGTTCAATTGTTATGAGTGAAACATTGAGACCTTAGTTAATCTAAAAAAGATCATTCACAGCTATATAAAATGTAACTAGTTTCTGATATCCTTTACAGGTTGTTGATCTATAATTATATAATTATTTCATGACTCTCTTACTTCTATTTAATTTTAGGATTTTCCCCTTAATTCTAATTTTCTGTGACTGAACTAATAATAAGTTTGGCAAATAGAATATAATTCCTACATTTTTATTTTGAGTTCTACTCTGTTTAATCTGTCGTGTCCTCTCAACAGTATGATTTAGCCTTGATGGTTTCATTGACTTTCTTTCAACTTGTGATATATGTGTATATATATACACTTCATATTATAACTGGAATAAAATGAACCAAAAATCAAACAATAAATCAATTACGACCGACCGTTTGAAAAAAAATCTCAGTCTTTTTACAACTTATAAAACACATATTTGGGTCACCATGGTTTATGATTTTAGGTTAATATTTATAACATCCATACATGATACAGTATTGTCAATTAATTAAAGTTTCATGATTATTTTGGATTTTGCTAGATTTAATGTCTATGATATCAATTAGAGAACTATTGAAAACTGTTGAGAATACCATACACTTATTTCATTTGTGTTTTCGAATTTTAATCACTGACTAAATGTTATGAAGCTTCACAAAGTACATGAGTTTGAACCCTTTGACATTGTAGTTGATGGCTAGTGACAAATATCTTATCCAGTACAAATCAAACATATAATGACTTTAAATTTTTAGGTTTTCAGTCATAATTCAGAACATTACTTACTTACTTACTTACTTACGCCTGTTACCCCCAATGGAGCATAGGCCGCCCACCAGTTTTCTCCAACCAACTCTGTCCTGGGCTTCTCTCTCCAGTTTTAAAAAAAACTCAGAACATTACTTATCAGTTATAACAAGATTATTTGTACTGATTAATCAGGTGATTTTTGTGAAGCGTTTACATACATACTGTTGAAAAGTTTATCATTAGCTTGTGAACAATTAGAAATATTATGAACGTCCAGAATAGCCAACTTATTCTATGAAACCAATTCACTCTAATATCAGAGATAGTTAGTGGCTTGCAGTAAAATTCAAGAAGTACATTTCACTTTATTTTGGACCCGTCAAATTTACTTACATCTGAGAGTTGATATTCACTCCTGGATAGCAATGCTGCTTGTCTAATGAATAAGATTGAGGTTATCCGCATAAGATATACATATACCAAAGTGACTAATCCATTGTAATCCTTAAAAATCAGTGAGAAAATTCAAATAACCAATACAAATGTATCAAGTCACTTTAAGTTTCGTGTTAAAACTTTAAAAATTGCAAAAAACTAAGTTTCCAATTCCTAACGGACACTGTATTCGTGGAAAGATGTAATAAATAAAACAAATTACCTAAGTTTTTTATAAAAAGTATTCGGAAAAATGATGATCACATTCACCAGTCTTCTTGGATAAAAAAGCAAATGAAGTACACACTATTCGTTTAAAGTAATCACATCAGTTATATGTATCCAAATATAGATTCTAATCATTGACATTTTCATGAAAAATGCATATCTAGCCATTGTTTGAAACAAAATGACCACCTGTTGTGAAATTGCATTTAATTTTGCTATTATGACTTGTAATATCCTGTTGTTTGAATTTGAAAAAAAAAATAATTGTTTTTTTCGAAAACTAGCAAAAAATGTAGATTCTAAATGTAGATATGATTTTTTCTATTGGTTCATTGTACTTTGTACGTTTACTTTATCTGATCTAACTAACAATCATTGTGTGCAGAAAGCAAATATTTCTACAATGATCATTCATTAATTTAGAGGACTAGTTATGATTATCAATTTAAGAATTTAAGAGCCATTAACCAATTCTCATAACAAATATTAAAAATAGAGCTCAGCAACTCTTCAGCATTAGTCTCTAATTATTCATAGATATTTCATAGACATACAGAAAACTAAACCATGTAAGCACTTTTATTTCATTGCATGAAGCAATATATCTGACATGAAATACTGAAAATATTATATAAACGGTTTGTTTTAGGTTTTATTGATTAAACATGCAAACCTTTTCACATGTAGTTTATTTTCCACAATATATTATGAAAGCAAAGATTGCATGATAAATTGCTAGTCGACATCATGAATTTACCTTGATAGTGATAGATTAATAACTATCTCTTCTGAATCTGTAAATTTGGTTTGAGTTTTTTTTTAACGGAATTTTTTACAACGAAGTGGAAAGAAGTTATGTTTTTGAAATTGTTCAGAGATTATTATAAAATCGACAGCATATCAGCTGTAGATTAAATGTTGAACTATTGCAAAGTTTTACAAACATATTTACGAATGAATGATTTACTTCAAATTTTACTTTTAAAAACTGATTTTATACTGATTTCGATTATTTTTCGTCAGAGTCGATGCAACTAGTTCAATGAGTGCACACTTAAATAAGTTGCATCATGGTAAACTTATTGAGTGCAGAGCAGAAAATACTGGATATGAGATGCATACACTACGTCCAGCTCAAACAAAAATTGAAGTACACTGTAAGTTTCATATTTGCATAATTCTTCGCAGTTAAATTCCCGTGATGAAATTTGACATTTTAGTGATTGTTAAAAATCTTTTTTAGCGCGACTAGTAAATTAGGCCTTTTTCGGTTAGAAAATAGAGCGTTACTCAATACTAGTCATGATAATAGTTAAAGGGAAAACAGACATTATTTAGAATATTTTATGTATGAATGACAGCTCTAATTTCCAAATGTGAATAATTAGTGACCTCATTGATACTGTCCAGCTGGTCAAGATTTTCGGATCGATTAAGTGAACTAGTTATCATTGAGGTCAAATTTAGGTATTTATCTTTTTGAAAACAAAACATCCACTTAATCTTAAAACGTCAAACATTCATTATTCTATTTACCGATTAATAACAAATATACCACTATCTTAACAGTTTGAAGTCGTATCAGAATGTATGACAGTATTCGGTTGACAAACTAAGTATTACATTCACTGTAAACTATTAGTTATTTTTCGTATAAGGTACATTGATTACTGTGAAATTTTCTGAGCTTATGATTACCACAGGTTAATGCAAACTTTAAAATAGGAATCATCAAGTTCACAATTCAAAAAGGTATGGAATGTATAGCTCCTATTTATTTTAAGATTACAATTTTACTGATGAATGCTAGTTTCGGTGTGTAGTTAAGTTTACTTATTTACTGACATTTGAAAGAGAAAACATGCTGATCATGAAATCCAACAAGGAACCAATTGTTTCAAGCTTGTGCACTGACCTAACACTTCAAGAAAGACACTTTGGAACTGTGGAAATGCCTATTTTTGAATTAAATTCATGAACTTCATCTACTTAATTACAAGCTTAGTTTTGTAAAAAAAATCTAAACACATTGATGATAACTTCTAGCATCAAACCAACCGCAGTCCGTCCTATTTTAATGAATTTAAAGCAAATAGCTAACCAACTGATTTAAAAATCCTTTTATCCACTTTTTTTTCTACAGATGCTCCTGTTGTAAGTATACAAGTACGGCCTTCACGACCTGACAATCAGTTTATGGAACATGACATCATTACTGTTGAATGTACTGCACACGGAAGACCAGATTCATTCTTTTGGGAGTAAGTGACTTTAAAGCTAAGTCTACTACAAAAAAGTGTTTGCAACTTATTTGTTTGCCAATCCTATGATTTTTTTTCAGAAAGCAAATTCACAATCACACATCATATTTGTTTCAACTGTTATGCTCATCTTGAAAAATCTATTGAAAAGTTATTTATTAATGAAAGAGTGTCAATGCATAGTATCGATTAACCTTAAGATGGAAAGAAATAGTTTTTTTAGGTGTCCCTTTAGTGTTTTAATCAGTATTTAGTTAAAATTAGTCTGTTAGTAAAATTACTCTTTGAGTCTGCATAAAACCACTTTAGTAAACAGTCAAGTCTGATAATGCATCGTTTTCATCCATATTATCACAACAGAAGTAGGATTTTCTCCCTTCTCTTCTATTTTACTGATTATATGACCAAAAGGAACAATAAATCAAGTGCCAATTTAATCTCTGTATGTTTCAAGATGGTCATCACACATGATTACCGGCCACAACGTATTGCACATTCATCATGAGCCTAAGTAAGTTTCGGTCGAGTTTTAAAAAGACCCTATGCACGAAATAATGATAGCATAAAACCCAATGATTGGTATGATGAATCCCGCGATTATCTGCATTTCTTAAAAATTAATGCTAGGTTCGCATATTAAAAGGAAGGATGATAAGTGATTAAAAATTCGAGAAGTGTTGTCAATGTTCTTTGTAACTTTGGAACATTCTCTGACTTTGTCAGTTTTTGACAAATTTGTAGAATCTATTAAATAAATGAGTTAAAAATTTGAATTTAGTTTTTTAAAAGTTTACTCACATAGCCGTGTATAGACACATGCTTTAAATAATTAAAAATCACCTGATACATATAAACGAAAATAGCATAAAAATAAAATAGACATTTTTAAGTATTTTAAAATAAATATTAAGCTTTTAAGAACCAAATTTTTTCAATACACTTTTTTTCTCTATTCAAAACAAAAACATTTTATTTCTATAACTATATTTCTTAACGGTTTAGAAAAATTAAAAATTATTAATGGTTAATTATGCACATGGTTCTATTAAAATGAAATATTACATATTCATTATTTCATCTATTGAATATTTAACAAGTTATTTCAATTAACTTCACACTCTGGTCTTTATTGTTTTTAAAAAGTCAATTTTGAAATGGTATCCGTTTATTTAAATAAAATGAAAAAAATTTAATTTATCAGTCACAAGACAACTATTTCAATAAAATAACTGTTTTCATCGACTAAAAAACAAAAATTTCCCATTGTTCACTGAATTTTACTTCAATTTTAACAATAGAACCTCAAAATGTTAGCTGTTGCTTTGATGTCGTTTCTTTAGTTCAGTATTCAGCTTTTCTACTTCAGACAGTTTTGTGGATAAAAGTAATGAGAAAAATACTTTATTACTATAATTTTAGCTTTACTGGGTTGACATACTTGGCTATCTTTATGTATTCTTATTTTAAAGATACTAATAAAAACACCATTTTTGTTAGGATACTTTTGAAGCTATAAAAATGACAGACTATATATATATATATATATATATATATATATATTGTCATATAGATTTTGAAACAATTATAATTTCCGGTTTAACTGATATTTTTATCTTTTAAAATTAACAAAGACAGTGTGATATCTCGCCAAATCATTCCTATGAAGAATTAAAGTATTATGACATAAAATAATTTTTTTCATACAAACACTTTAATAAAAATAATGGATTTCATAAACTTCTTGCTCATCCAGTAACGGTTATGTGTAGCAGTTTACTAATATGTTACGAGACTAACCAAAATGTAAGTCATTCTCAGGCTGTTATTATCTAACTATGGATGTCTCGGAGGTTTAACTAATATTAATGACTATGATGACTACGCCTAAAATATCGATAACTTTTCTAAGACATTCAAAAAATTCGTCGCTATGATTTATGCCACAACTATATTCAGTGTATCTGGTTCGAACCCAAAAATACAGATTCGTTGATTTATTGTCGTTATTCCAAGAATAAAATTACAATTCTCTTTTGATGATTATAGATGGCACGTAAACGGACGTCAAGTTGAAAATATCGCTGAATCATGGTATCGGCTTCGATTAACACGTGAATTACATCAATCAGTATTTCGGTGCATTGCAATTTCAAATAAAAAAGGCTTTGCTGAGACAACAATAAAAGTTAAATGTGAGTTTATTCCTCCTGTGTGATAATACTGTTAAATATATAGTGTTTGGAGTTAACTCCAAAAGTATAACCTAACGTCTTCCGTTTTACTGTCTGTCGACTGAAAGTTAACTGCCAACATAAATCACGCCACTGTCTACTTTGTTTGGATGTCTGTGAACCAGTTTACCCTATTGACAAATATACTATAATCGGTCAGTTCAGTATATTAACAGATAATATTTATTCCAGCTTCATGCTAATAAAGCTAGACCCAGGTCTTTGATCTTTGAACGATACACAGAATTCGCAATTCTGTATCAAATTTACGATCCATATGTATAACTGATTGCTCACATTAGTAATCATTGTTATGTATGTAAACTCCTTGGTGCTACTCGAATTCCAAAGATCAAGTCAAGAAGTGATCACTAGTCTGATTGACTCAACTATACCACATTGAGATAAAAAATGATGGTTGGAGGAAGTCAACAGGAAACCTTGGACCATGGGACACCAGTTCCTCCAAGCTTATAGATAAACCTTACCGTCACGTCTAAAATGGCACGAGACGCTAGTCCAGATTTCTCGTTAGCTACTTTCAACCACTATCTCACAATCAATATCATTATTACCCACTGATACCAAAAGTCGAAAGAAAACATTAATTATCACTGAACTCAGACTACTCAAATTTCAGTCTATAGTCTAGAGAGACCCCTCTGAGAAATCTTAAGAACTTCTACAAATTAGACGGTTTCCTGTAAGTTCAGATAGTCAAACTTTTGCGCAAAACATGACTTTAATTCAACAGTAAGCCTGATAAATAAAATACAAAGAAATTTTAGGCGGGATACCTTTTTTTTAATTAACGATTTATTACGCAGGTGAAGAGATTTGAGAATGTTTAGAGGGATTCTATTTTCTGTATTGTTTGGGTTGATGCTTTCTGAGCTTATTGGTTAATAAAATATGGAGTGTTTGAATGAATTCCGTGCGAAAGTTATTGGTTGTTAACCAGAAACGTGTATTTATAGTCCTGATTAAACTTATGATAAATTACAAACTTAAAATCTAACCACTCAGCGCTGCTAACAAATACATGACTAACAGGTTTACTTCATTTAGTCTAATCTTATTTGATGTTAACAGTAGCTAGAGAAATCGTTAACAAATGCGCTTTAAGAAAATATGAATTTTGTCTACTTTAATCTTACACTTCCTCTGCAATTACTGAAAAAAATCTTTTTTAGTGAACTAAATTATCCAACCTATTAATTTCAACACAATCCATGAATATTGATGGATTTTGCTCAAAAAATTTCCAAGAATAGATCTGAGAAGACAATGACAAAACTATTACTTTCCACCGTCAAATAGAGTGTAACATAAAGCTACTCGGTAAATTATTCCTTCCTAACATATAAACGATAAGTATTTAAAAGTACCATTATTTTTGATTATTTTAGTTGGACCTCAATTTCATCAAGCTTCAGCTTTACTATTCACAGCATCACCAGGTGAAGATGTTTTAATGGATTGTCCAGCAATAGGTAATCCAACACCGCATATTGAATGGAGACGTGAAGGTGGTAGGGAAGTTCTTTCACGTAGTGTTTCATTGAAACGTGAAAATTTAAAAGAAGAAGATTTTGGAACATATATATGTACAGCTTTTGTACCGGAATTCCCTCCCGTATCTAAACAAATGTATATAGCTAAAAGAAGTAAGTTTGCTGCATTTGTTTGACTTATAAATTCAGTTAATTACGTCTCGTTAAAATGAAATATAAATATTGATTTTCTATCTCAACAAGTCTCTTATCTTTTCATCAAGAGTCTCAAATACTTTATCAAGCATATTACAGTACTATTAAAAAATTACGATAATAATAAGTACTTCAATTTGATTTTGCGTTAATTTACCCTCAGTTTTGTTTATGGAGATTCTATTAGGATAATTTCATATTATAAACCTTAAATGGTCATATCTACAACGATATTATCAATCTCTTAAAAATATCTCTAACCTAGAATAGTAAAAACATGATGAAAACTAAAATATGAATTCCTAAGTAAAGTTCACTTTTTCAATAGCCATAACTTCATTAAAATAATAATCAAATAATAATAATAATAAAATAATAATAATAATAATATAATAAAATAATAAAATAATCATTTTTCGCATAAATTCTGGAAAAAGAACCATTTAATGTACAACACAATCACTTTACATTTATACAATCTCGTTTCATCTGAATATTGTCAATTCATGCAAACGCAATTTGTGTGTGATACAGTCAATTAATATTGCGTGTATGTAGCATATCCAAAAAAAGCTGTTATTAGTATAAAATAGATCAGCCCTACCTATTCGATAAGCTGATTTCTCACTGAAGTCTAATCTTACATGGTAAAAACTGACTTTGTTCAACTATCGATTGAAGAACGTTTCGTTTTCATTCATGATAAAATTTTTAATACTTTTGTCTAACCGGTGTCAATCATCATTTATTTTTGATGGATTTACACCTATTCTGTTACTGAGAATGTAATTCTTCGATAGGAGCTAAGCTAGCGCAATTCTGAAAAGATTAAAGCACAATGAAGTAAACTACAGTTTTTTTAAGAGAGAGCAGTCAAAAGAAAACCTTAGTCTATGCAATCTTATAACTTTTGAAGTTGTAGATATTTTCTCTTGCGTAACTATGATAACACACGTATCATGTACAAGACGATTGAAAAAAAGTAGAAATTTCAAAACGCTTTATAATACATACCTGTTTGTTTTAAACTGCGGTTAGCATTTTCGAAATGTTATTCAATCGATGATATAGTGCTATGCGCCCAAAATGTTATTGGTAGACAGTTGACTAACTGGCAGTTTTATTGATTATATTATGTCCGCAAATGCTATAAACGTATAGACTGCTGGTGTGGATTGATTTGACTTCAGAACAGATTATTAGTTTTCGGTCAGATTAACATTCAAGTTTATATAAATTGAACTGATTAGTATTTGACATCGATTAGTCAATAAATTACTGTATGAACATATATTTACCATATCATACAAATAAACTTCTATATTCAACAAACATAACTTATTAGCTAATTCATATAACTACTCCTCAGGATGTGATTACAAGTCACAAATGATCAATTTCGCATGTAAACTGCACTCCAATCGATAAATTCATTATTTGCCATAGATTTACATTCGGAAAAATTCATGTAATAGAAGGCTACTGGTGACGTACACGATTAAAATTTAACTAAATAACTTTTGAAAAGATTTTAAATAATCTACGGATAATTTCAGTTGTGACGTAAAATAAACGAAGGAAATTAGATTTAGGAGAATAGATAACGAAAACATTTTTTCGCTAGAACTTGAGTAAATTCGTCGATAATTAGGTTATCAATTTGTGGTCGTGAAAGTAGATAGTTAAACTGAAATGAATTACTATATTCTGATTAAAATAAATCAGTCATGAAAATCCTTACTGAAAGTAATGCACAACCTGGGTAAATCATCATTTTTTTCTGTTATGACTTTAGGTAACTTCTTATTTGTGTTGAGTATTTTTGTAAGATAATTTTGCAGGATAAAATTTCGTTTCTTTTTGCCTCATTACTGCTCGTTGCTTTATTTGCACTTTTGAAATGAAGTATAAACATGACGAACATTCCGTTTCAGTTATATATACTCTCTATTCGTAAATATATATATATATTTGTATATACGTATGTATAGCGAGTTTATGATTGTCCTTTTCTGTAAATACTATACCACTAAATATTAAAATTTGAGCATAAATAACACTATTTTCTTACAACTTCAATAATCTCCATTGACACTGTTGATGTATACATCGTTTACCTATTTCCATTGCATATATCTCCTACAATAGTTGTTCAGTAGATAGTTTGGATTGATGTAAAATTATGCGATTTTAGAAACGAATAATTGAAAACTATTCGCTTCAAAGCAACTCTTTTGTTTTGAATAGTTAATCGAGAAAACAGAACTACGCAGATGAGTATTTTATATAACTATGATATTTATTAACATTATATATGAATGTCTATGTAAATATATATAAAGGGTATGGTATTTTGATTCCTTTTCTTCATAAGATGCAGACAGAAGATTTATTTTTGAAATGTTACACAAACTTTTGATGACATATATTTACGCATATGAGTTTATTTCAACTTACTTTTAGACAGGCACATTTTTAAGCCGATAGTTAATTTCTTATACGCATAAACATTAGCAATGATATGCCTAACTGAAAAGTAATATGTACTGTACATTAACAACAATTAATCAAATAACAAGGCAGCAGTAGATGAACTGTGTAGTTGAATAAGATGCGCCCATGTATATATATGATTTATGACTGGGAATTATTTGTGTCTAGGATATTGTTTGTAGTCTACGAAAACTGATGAATGTTGAATAAGGAATTTCTGGGAAAACGTTAACGAAAAACATTTATGATAAAATTACTCATCTCTTCTGTTAACCTTAGGTAAAATTTGTATTTTTGCACTTTTAATAAAACAGTTGTGAAGGTTGTTAAGTAAACCTTTAGTCAAGTAATTGAATATTGAAAATGTTAGTACTGTGTATAATCATTATAATCCGTTGAGTTATGATTCAATTCCAAATGTAGCTGATAAAAATGTTGATCTCTGCATGATTAGATCATTATAGTATTTAACAGTGAAAAAAAACTACTGTTTAATGATGGGTATGCAAAAATAAACACATATAAAAATTGGGTATGGGCGATTTTATTGATTTTCCACAATCTGTATGAAATATAGAACCATAAACTGGACTACTACAAAAAAGTATGTAAAAAGCAATAAATACATAAATACAGTAAAATATACAGTAACACTGAAATATAAGTGTGATAATTTTTTTTTAAGTGAATGAATTCCGTTGAAAATGATATGGAGTTTGGAATAAAGATATTACTTATGTTGAGAGGTGTTTTTTTTTACTTTAAATATACGGTATTATTTTATCCTTAATATGTAACATGTTAACGTACGTTTAAAATATCTGCTCTGTTTCCCCATAACTATACGAATTGAACGAATTTTTTTCTGTGTTAATAAATATCACTAGTTTCCTGGTTATTTTTGCTTGATATTAAAAGAGGGATTGATTGATTACAGTTAAGCGTATCGATGTATTTTCTAACTGGTATATTTGCCGACATTACTGAAGTTAATTAAATTATGTATGATAGTAATGGTTGTTAGAACATAAGTATCTATGAAACAACAAAGATGTTTATGGCTTAAATTTATTACAGATATGTTGTCGTGAACTCTATCGGCATTTCATACCCTAACAAAAGATGTCTATAACACAATCTTTAGTAGACATTACGCCTGGTAGTCGAAAATGAAAATTTTCGGTTTATTTTCTTATTAATTGTAACTGTCAATCATATTCTTTTAACTAATTAATTCAACAAACATTCAATATTCATACAACTGTAGATTAAAATAGAATTAAGTTGTCTAATAAATAGAATATGATAATAATAACATATGAAGTTGTAAAGAATTTTTTTCTTTACACTTAGTCATGTTACATTGTGAAGTCAAAATATCAGATATTTTTCAAAAGATACAAATAAGTGAGGCTACAAGTTGGCGTCCATTTACTCCGGGCATATGTAATATTGGTTTCCGAAGTTTGAACAGACTTATAGAGCAGGTTGTAGAAATCACAGCTAATTATACAGTTTATTTATTAAGTTATCTAATTGATTGTATCAAATTGTTTACTGGTAATCAAATCATACTGCTTAGAACTAGTAACTTTGTTCCAGTGGTTAAGATATATTTTTGGCTTCTGTTGGGGACGTTAGATCCCCAGAACTCACTTGGAAAGGTCCTAATTTTGTAATTTTATTCCGAAATTTTGAATTTCCATGCTTTTACGCTAGTTGACCTTCAGCTAACAGTTCTCCTCGGAAAATCCTTGACTGTCATTGGTTGATGGATTATTTTAGTGTGCTATTTTGTGGCTCTCCCAAGGGCGTCTCTATCATTGTATAAATAAGCTTGATTTGTATGCTTAAACACCTCGTATTTTCTGGATGCTTGTAGAATACACTTTCTACGCCTTATCAAGACTTCTTGATCTAGTTAGCTGGTCCAGGGACAAATGGATTAGAATAGCCTATTGTGTCACTGTATCATGGCTTTCGTTCCGTTTACCGAGTAAGGTGAACTCGTAATAACATTCAAGCATATCAATTGGCGAGCATATCAGTTACATACCCATTTCGCAGGTTAAATTTGATGGCAAAGCTGAATAAAAGTTGGATACTGAATTATGGAATCTATCATAATACTATATTATTTTGTAAGAAGGTCTGTTTCCAAATAGCATGGCTAAAAAGGTGCAAAATATTAAACCTTAACAAAATCAATATCAGTAGATAAACAGAAAAATACGTGTAGTTTCATAGTTTAAATCACGAACTGATCTTACTGAGGCTATCAGTAAAAATCAGGAGGCATTAGGCAGCTGTATCGTCTTATTATGACACGTGAAGTGTGCGAATCCACGATTCCACGGCGAATCGAACTCAAAACCTTCATGATTGAAACTATGAATATTTTATAAACTCCATCCTCCTCTTAATACTAGAAAAATATATTTGTTATAAACTGTCTAGAATTTAGAATAATTTAAAGTATAAATGTATTTAAGATAACTAGATTTGTTTTAAATCACACCACTCAAAATATAAAATTGTTAACTTTCCACGTTTTAAACTTTCTATCTAGTGAACTTCTTGTTTCACACACTTCCGAAATGAACAATCATCAGTTTCTTAAAAACAAGGCCATAATTTCACTTAACAAAACCATATTTTTTGTGATGAAAGTAGGTAGATATTTGCAGCGAAACGATGTATACTTTACTGTGTATATTGATTTACGGTATTCATTATATTTTATTTTATTTTGGATCGAATAACTACTTGATAATCATTATTTGTTATCGACTAACACTTGTTATAATTAAGCAATCCGTTTGCATTAACCGATATTGATCGCTTCTAACAAGCTGTAAAACAAAAAAAGTGTACACCAGACAATAAAAACTAATATAGAAAATAATACAGTTTCAAATAACTGAACATTTAGTCAATGCAGTTCACTTTGTGAATCATTCTGTAATGAATTAAGAAACAAATAACCATGAAAATGAATAGTGAGAGTAAATTTCGAAGCATTCTTTTATCTTAGTGGATTAGGATAAAAACTATACCTACGGATTAAATATTAGGTTAGTACTTAATAATCGTAAGTTCAAATTCTACCATTCTTACTAATTAAATATGATTCATTAGAGACAACTACATTATATCTTATTTTTTTCGTGAAAATATCCTTTTTAAAATAGATTGACAGATTTAACCTTGTTAATTTCAAATGTTTGACCGTTTCTCCCGCTGCTTCATCTATATGATCATGTTTATTTGAAAAAAGAGAGATACGTAAAAGAATAGATATGAATCACTAGAGATTTGTTACAGCTTAAGTTAACAGATGACTGATATGAAAATGAATGATGCTATTATTTATAAAGAATATTGTGTTTGTCTCAAAGACTGTAAAATGAATAATCAGTAATTTACATTAGGTTATGATCAATAATAGATTAAAAGTTATAATTAATTTTAATGTGTAAACTATATACTAGTCTAATTAATTTTTAACAGCACAGTTCATATTTCAAGAAATTTTGATTGATCTTTTCATTTGATTACTTTTTGAAGTTTACAATTCTAATTCAATTTATTGATTCATGAATAATTCTTTTCACACAACTAAATAAAACCAAGTAGTTAAACTCTTTTGTTATTGTTCTTTCTTTCACAAATAAAAATAAGCTAGATTTATTAGGTGTAACCTGGTAGACAGAGTTATAATAGCTACATAATACCACTAACTATTATTACTTACTTACTCATGCCTATTACCCCTAATAAAACATAGGCCATCGACCAACATTCTCCAACTCAACCCGTCCTCGCTTTTTTTCCAGTTCATTCGTTTGATATCTGCTTGAATCCTTTCGGGGGTTACTGCCGGTCCTAGACCAAGATAAAGGAGGATAGTTAGATATGGGGCTAGCGACATCATCCTGTAGAAAATCAACTCTCTAAAAAACGTTAAACAGAACAAAAAATTTAAACCATTTAAACTCTTCACTGGAAGTTGTAAGGCGTTTATCAGGAAGAGTTATGACGCCTTATGTAGAAAGCTGAGTTTGCTCAGAAGTCAAAATGCTGATGCCCCTTTTGACAGCCAGAGCAACCATCGATACAAGTACATGGAATGTGGTAGACTGGAAGAACCATTTTCGTTACTGCGCAAACGAAAAGATACAACCTGGTGGTTCTAGCTAATATGACAAATGTTTATTTAAATAATATTCTAATAAAATATTCATGTATGGTATTTTATCCTAAAGTTGAACTATGGACAAAAACATTTTTACTACAGATTTATAGATAATATTATCGATAATAACTATTTGTTTACCCTATTTCAGCCACAAATACACAACTGAGTAAATCAGAATTCTATAAATGAATGAATTTGGACATTACCTGTCTATGATAAAATACTTAGCTACATTTCTTAACAAGCAAAGATACTTGCTTATTATATTATTTAACAATAAAAGGCTAACTACATTAACAGTGATTAGTAATTGACTTTTAATGAATAGTGTCAGTCAAGTTTTCGTCTATAACTTATTATTTATCAGTTGCTAATTCAAATCTAACTTAGTTTATACGCTTCTGGTTTGAAGTACTGAGCAATGAAGTTTTCGATTATAACAATGAACTGTACAGTTCGACAAAGAAAATACGAAATATTGTTTCAGGTTCTCTTGATAACCAGCCCAATTATCTGACGGTTTGGATATGAACATTTCACAAAATTTTAAATGTTTGTCAATATCTTCATTTTAATCATCATGTATTTATATAATAAAGCTAAACGAAATATACAAATTGTCATCTATTTCTGAAATGTACAGGACTTTCGTTTGAAGTTTCAAAATTTTGTTGTTTAATCATGTGGTGCTTCCACAGAACTCCTCTTTCTCTAATGTGGCACCCATTTATCTTATATAATGTTCATTCTAACTTAGAACCAATTGAAAAATTAACACGGTTTTTTTTGTTTAAAAAAAATCTATTTTACTTAAGAACCTCCTCGTATTCAACCGAATCCGATAGTTCATGCTCATTTGGGTCAACCAGCAAGATTACGTTGCACAGTGAATTCAGTACCACTCCCACCTTCTGGTCAAACACACTGGTATTTCAATGGTAATCCAATTCAACCAGATTCACAGTAAGTTCACTAATAAGCTGAAGTGGAACGATTTCGAATCAATTTTCTTAATTTATAATTTTCACTATGCAAACTTATTCTGGCTCTTAAGTTGGATAAAATTAATTTCGCGATATCAAAGCAACACTCTTTTTAAGCTTCAATAATAAGTAGGGATAATGATCAACGAAATTTCGATTGTATTTGGTTAACTTTATATTCCAAGTTTATTTAGACCGAATTCAATTATATTTTAATGACCTAACGAAATCTAATGTGTTTATACACGATACAAATTAACATAATAAAATCAATGTCATTTATAACCCTTTACCTTTAAACGGATAAGATTACATATCCTTACAGTGAATCTTTAGTGATTCTAGCCGATATAGTATATCAATAATAAAGCGGTCACTTTTTAATAATGTTCGTGGATAGAATCATACTTTTTCCTTATTCTGATTAAATTTTCAGTAATTTTACAAACTATTATCAATACAACAATAACACTGGTAATGCCTACATAATATATCGTGCTTGTCCAAATTAAAGATTACTGCATCTAAAATTTAGAAATAAATATACCGTAATTAACGGACATTTACATTAATAAATTAAATTAAGAGGATCTCAGCCGAAAGCAGGAAATTTCGTACACAATTAAATATAGTATAGTTTAGCATAAACAGAAATAACTAGCGTTTCACTAACAAATGAATGTAATATGTTCTACAAGTTCTCATCCAACTCATAATGATCCTACAGCGAAAATGACAAGCTACTTACAAGTAGTCACTTCAAACTACTTAAAAAAAAATGCTTTTTGTTAACCTATCCGGTAGCAGATCTTAATAATAATGTGACAAACAGACGAAATTTAACTGCTAATTCCACATCTAATAAATTATCAAATAAATTTTAATTCACATTCATTACAAATCATTCCAAAGTATCAAGGCAATTTTTCTTTAACGAACCGCTTACGCTTAAGTAATATATACATCACAAAATGTTTTTTACTGTACAGTAAGCTCTACTGTTTTCATAATCAAGTTTTTACTATTCAACAGTGTAGATTATCTTTTTTCAATTATGTCAACCAATGATCTTTGTCAGTCATCGATATATCTTCATTTTTTTAAAAATACGCTTATCAGACTGTATTGTATGATATGCATCGTTTAAACAGCAGTTTCAGTTTTGATGATATACTGTCAGATCCATTCAATAAACAGTGAGGATCAAGTCGTCAGTCAGACAGTTACAACGTAAAACAGCGTACGTACGTACATCAGTTCAGGTTGCCATACCGAATTAACACAGAGACGCAACTGTCAGTTCCAATCCAATAGTGGTAGTGATAGTAGAAGTAATGCAGAAGTTTAGGGTTGGAAGATATGATTCGCGAAGTAGAATCTAGTGAAATAAACTTAACAAGAAAAAGATAAAGTGTTGAGTAATTCAAAAAGTTCAGGTTTGAGAGAACACAAAGAGTGGATGCACTTGCGCCACTGCAAACAATATTAAGCCATGTCGTTCAAGGTCTCTAACCATTGATGACTTTAGGATTAAGTCGAGTTAGTAAACTGTTCTTTTCGATTGACAGGATTTTTGGTTTTGAAACAGATAATATAACTAGAAGACGACATTTCTCACCAAAATATAATCTAACAGAATAATATAATATTCATGCTTTAGTAAAAGTGGCAACAGCATATAAGTAATTACATACTATCCTAAAACCTCTGTACCATGTATATCACCATCTATACATAGGGAGGAGTAGTCATGAATTGCACGTAAGAATGAATCTTCCACTGTCGGTCATAAGAGTAATCTTAACTGAACCTTTGAAATTTCCTATGAAAACTTTCCAAGATGGATGTTTAGCTGTGTTAAAGCCTTGTTATTACGAAATGACACCTCTCCTCTTCGAGTCCAATCAAAGCAAATTGTAGTTATACTAAACTTACTCGGAGAATATTGGTTAGCCCAGTGTTATGCTTTATCAGACTGATCGAAATGTACTTAACTAATAAATTACATAGTTTCGATAAATTTTGTTTTCTAAGTCTTACACTTTATCAAATATTTTATTGATCTTAAATTTCCTTATCACTTTTTTTTATATTCACTGAATCAGTCATAAGTTTGAACAAGAAGAATTTATCGGTGGTGTGGTACTTGTTCTTCACATTGCACATGTGATGATGAGTGATTTCGGTCAGTATAATTGTTCTGTAAAGAATGGTTACGGATCGGATTGGAAATTAATCCGTCTTAGTCATCAAGGTCAGTTAGTTTATATATATATATATATATATATATATATATATATATATATATGCATTTTGTTTTAAAACAATTGTCATCACTAAAACATACTATAAATATATTTCTTGTTTACAGAAGATATTCCAATACAGTTTATTATCGGTGCAGCGGTTACTATTGGCATTCTGTTGATAGTAGGATTAATACTTCTTTGTATATGCCGTCAAAGAGTATGTGGATTTCGTTATAATAATGGTAAGCGTATATATATATATATATATATATATACATCGAAAAACAGAGTTACTTACATACATCATTACTCTTCTGAATAAAGACCTTCTAACTCCCAGGGTAGATTTAAAATGATTTGAGTTATTTTTTCCTCGCTGGCGTTTTTTTAGCGAGTTAGTTTTCTACGGGATGGGGTTGCTAACCCCATGCCCTACCGTCCTACTTTATCCAGGCTTTGAGATCGGCAGTAGCCCCAGAGGGGCTCCAGGCGGAGTTATATCAAAAAATGAATCAGCGAAAATAATGCACAAATACTTTAACTATCAATACATATATAGGGTCCATAATCATGTACAATTTAAAAACTATTATTTCGATGCATTCAAATCAATCTCATTCCATATTTTGTACTACCAACTCTGACAAGAAAAATCCAGAAAATTTTAATGACATATAAATGGAACAAAAGTATAAAAATATTATTTTCCTGCTATCTCTTATAAACCATAATTTCCTTTCTCTCCAAATACTGTAAATAATAAAGGTTACAGTTCATAAAGACATATTCTAAAAGACTAGATGCTTGACTCAAAATAAAACGTAATAAAGTCATTGGTGTTTTCTCAATAAATTCATGTAGGTGAGTGATTTCAAAATGGCATTGCTCCTGTTTTATGCAGATTTTGACTAAACTCTCTAACTCTACAGTTCAATGAACTTCATTTATACCTATTCAGAAAGAAAGTGTCACAGATCTGAACGTTTCGGTAAATGATGAATAATTAAAAAATCTAGTAGAAGAAAGTGTTATAACGGTATAATGCTAGTAAAATTCTATATTAGTTTCATACTCTTCTCTCGTATTTTCTCAAAAACTCTTCTGAATACAACGTCAGTTTTTAATAGATTAGATTAAAAAGCTTGACTAATCTCTGGTAAATTTATACAGACAATTTATTGAAATTAGGAATTTGAATTTCAGTTTTATTAGTTAGATTATAATGATAATCAGTGAGTTATTAGTATAGTACAGTGAGATTATAATCGATAGATGACCTTCGGGCGATGCTAAAGTGACCCTAAAGATATTCACCTACTTACTAAAGTTAAAAGAGGGTTATAAATTAGTGTGACGGATCAGTGATATAATTTACAGTTGGATGTTAGGGTTAGGAATTCATTATGGACTGACATCAGCTATAATGACAAAATTCTATTTAACCGTATGGATGAACAAATTTCGCGCTAATTTCTAAAACCTGTTATTTCAAATATGATTTGTTTGTCCATGAATTAGATAATCTCGCAAGTTTTACAATTTCTAACTAATTGACTAGACTGGATACAAATTTACAGTTAAAAGTATCAATTTTTATGCACTGATGAATATGGTGTCAGCTGATTGAAAAATTTCGTGGTAAATAAGTTTATATATATAAAGACAGAGATAAATTATACCTTTGGCATACTTAAATCGAGTATGTTAGAAATAAAAATTGTGAAATTTATGTGTAACATATTTTTTCTTCCAGTTGGTAAATGTCGATTTAGTTAAATTTACATAAAAATTTATGGACATCGTGAGAAACAGAGATAAAAAAAGAACACATGTAATGTTAATTCACCATAAGAATATTTGCTTATATATTTCATACTTTTGGTATATTTTCGATAAATTCAAGATAAAAATAAAAATTTAGAAATTTTATTTTAAATTAACTTAGATTTTGTTTGTATGATTGTAGTGATCATTAAAATGCTGCTTTTTTTAAAACCAAAATAACTGTGACACTGGATCTCACGTTTTGTTTGGAATGAAGTATTTAAACTAAGGATGCGTTTAAAAATTACGAAAATATCTTACCATGTGGTATACTAAATTCAGAGACGTCAATAAGACGGAAAATTGTTCAAAATTTGTATTGAGCCAAATCACTATATTCAGTTCAGAATTTAAGGCACGATAAGCTATAGAATATATCAATACCATTGTTAGCGATTTTCATACAAACATGGCTTAAATTCTTCTACCACAAAATATATTTGTCTCAATGACATCAGCTAAGAAGCCTTCAGCTCCCTACATATCAGTGTATCAAAGTGAATTAAGTAGTGAGTGACTGAGGCTAAGTATCCATATTTCCCCAATTAAAAAAACGTTCACAATCACACCAACCGATTTTTTGCCTAGTGTAATGTGTCTAACGTCATCATTGTTCACTATGCTGTTCCTAAATATGTAGCTTGTGCTTTGAAAATATGCTAGTCATCATACTAAGGTATAATATTAACCACTTCATTGCGAAAACATGAAATTCAACATCGTTCTTACTTCTCATATTATTAAAACTGTTTTTAGGCAATCGTACTAAACAATCATCAAGAAATTCGTTACAAGATTATGGTGTAGTGAATTCAGATTTTATAACACGTGCTTGTACACCAAATACATATTATCGTCAAGATCCATATCAGTGTTATTCAAATAATCCTAGTTTAAATAAATCATTTGCCCGTTATGCTTTCGATGGTACAGATCAGGTAAGTTATATCATTAATATACATATATATATATTACACTTATTAATGCTCATGTAGACTTTGTTCATTCACTTTTAAACAAAACGTCGTGTTATGTTTTCACCAATCTGTATCATTTAAAATAAACCGTAACTAATACACTTTGCATGTCTGGGCTAAACTTTAGTACGACTCATTTACCCACTGAATAAATATATCAACATGCAAACAGTTTAAAGTTTGAAACAAGTGTACTATCAAATGAATTTATTATATTTCACGTCAATAAGTGGAAAACTAAAGGAATGAAAATATTCATGCAAATGTATTCAGTGTTTTATGAATCCTAACCAAAATTTCCCTAGTTGCTTTCATCACTCAGGCCAACGTTTAGAAGTATCTTAGATTTCAAAAACAAATTTGTTGTGTTGACCAACGCATCATTATGAGGAATAAAATAAACAACTCACCATGTTTAAAAATACATCTATTAGCTAAGCTACTTTGTCTGGGATTTCAAACATAATGTTACTTAAAATTATTCAGTGGTTTTATCAAACTCTGGAGCTGCTTTAAAAATATAGGTTCGATACATTTAGCATAAACGTTAATATCGATCCATTTTCATTGCCAACAATTGTATAATAATGAAGATTCTGTTGATACTCAGTTAGCTTGGCATTTGAATAAGGTACTAGCTATGAAATTAATTTACTTCATAACAAGTTAAATGAAATGCTTCAAAATTAAGTAACTCGATATCGCTTAGAGGATTACAATGCATGCCTCAAATACTACCATAACAAACGGTTAGACAAATTTTGATAATCACTAGTGACTTATTTGTGCACAATTTATCAACAGATAGTGAAAATACTTTGATCAAGTGAATATTGAATTAGTTGAATAGTTAGTAAGAATTGATTTTATTTACTGTTATAGTCTTTCTGAAAATATCCACACAGCAAACCGAAATTAACACCACATTAAAGGTAAGAAGTGTATTAATAAGCGGAAAAAGCTGAGAGAATAAAGGGTATGATTTGAAATCAGTAAATAAAAATTAAATAATAATAATAAATATTATTATAGTGTTGGGCTATTTGTCCAATATCCTAAGAGAATTATTTGTAAGTCTAATCCTATCGGTTAATTTCCACTGGTCAATATTATGGTCGTCCTAACTATCAATGTCACTTCAAATTTTGTTTCCTATTGATCGTCCCAAGTGTCAATGTCACATACTTCAGTGTTGGTTCCTATTCGACCTAACTGCATAAATACGCATAATCTGTAACGTTTTATGATCCTGGTGCGGGTCCGGATCCTAAGTCCAGGATCCTGATTCTCTTCTGGACTTGGACGTCGCACTATCTGAATGCTTGTAGAACACAGGTTTTACTTCATATCAAGTCTTCTTCTATCGTTCAGTGGGGGTCGGGACGCTCGAATTAGAGTAGCATGTCGCGTCTCTCTCGTTTTCCGACTAAGGTAAACTCGTAATAGTTTCAAGCATATCAAGTGACGGGCATAACATATAGTATTAAAAGTCCACATCTATAGAAAGATAACGTCTGAGTATATCTTTACAAATCTGATAAATTTTCAACATTAACATCACAAATATCTCATGAATTACAACCAGGAAATTTTACACTTTTCGATACAGTTCAGTTTAACAATTACTACTTTCCTTCTGATAACATACTGAATAGTGAATAAATTCTTTCGGTTTAAATTTCAACAAATTATCATGATAGACTTCTTTACATCGTTTATATTCTAGCTTAAAATATTTGAAACTCTTAACAAATAACTGTATGATCTACATGAAATATTAGAAAAATAATTTAGTTATTTTTATTTTATGGAAATCAATTACTGTGGATATGCATTTTTGACTGATTTTCAGGGATCTATGCACATACCCAAGGATCGATCGGAAAATTGTTGTTATGAAGCATCCAAAGAGGATAAATGTGCTAATACGTAGGTTTACTCTCGTATTACAAATAATCAGATTTTAAAAAAATGCGTTTTAATAATGTTAGCTTCCCGTCAACAGTGACAACGGTGTTGTGGCCCCCCTAAGTGATTCCTTCTTACGTCTAAACAAATGAATTATTCTCATCTTTCTAGCCACTTTAATTTATTGATACAACTGAGAGAATATGTACGTGTCTGTATACGTGTACTTCATTCATAGTGATAAAAAACGGAGTCACAAATTACTTACTGAGTTAGCTATTTCTTCCTCACTAGTTCATATGCATTTCTTTTCGCCTGAATTACCGAATTTCTTAAATATACATTTCTCAAGTAGTTTTGTATTCCATCTTTTTTACGTACGTTGCTATTGAAAGGATTTGTCAACCGACTATATATGAGGGAACTGAATGGAATTAATAATCATTCAACCACTATGGAGTCAACCACAAGCAGTAAAATATATTGCTAACAGTATTATAAGGGAAATCCATGCCATAAATCTTATCACATTTAGTCTTCAGAAACGTAAACTTATGAAGATTTCGAAGGAATCGAAATTAAATTGATTACTTTATTATAAAATTTCCAGGTCCATTTCATTATTTTTCCGAAAAGTTATTAGACGATTCAAACTTCGGTTCAAAAAAACATGTGGTCGTGAGCATACACGACTGACTTCTTCCCTCAAGCACGATTACCATTTGTTGAATGAAATCGTTGACCATTTTCAAGACAAATAATTTAGATTTTAACTATTAAACGAAATCCGAATATGATGTGTTAAATTAATCAGTCCTATGTGTGTAATGTGTTCATTGATTCACGTTAGTACATCCACTGGTAGAGTGAGATGAAACTGTCAGCTCAAATTCCAAAGTATCAGGGTTGTTATCAATACTGATAATATAAAAAGACTGGGAAATAAAGATACGTTTCTAGAAAATAGAATCTAATGAAATAACAAGTGAAATTTATAGGGAATTTAAAAACTTGGAACTTGTGAACAGAAAAAGAATGAATACATCCACACCATCGTGGATACTTTTGAGCCGCGTTACGATAATCCCACAGGCTAACCAGGTGTTTTTTGATTACCCATACATCTGAATTCAACAGCCAGTGTCTTTATGGACTGATATCATGTCTTGGTTTGGATAATCCTAGTTTTCTTCCAACCCACATTATCATGTCTCAAAGTAGTTGGTGGACAAACATTGGTATTACATATCTTAACTATCTCAACCGATAAGAATTTATCGTATTATCAGCTGATTTGCCACATCTACCCAAAACTCTGAATTTAATTTTAGAATGGTCCTGAAATACATGACGAATAATTTCAAAACACCTATGATGCAATAATAGTAACTCAAAAATATTCTCTGTATTTAAAGGCGATATTTGACAGCCATGAAGTAGATATAATTATCCGCTTCGACATGCATATGCATGTCTTCCAACGTGCTCACCTTTTATCCATCGTTTATTTGGATATATAATGATATTGGCTCAAACCAACAGTGCACATCACACACCTACAAATATTTTGAAATGTGTCCTCAACACATTTCGTATCAGACGTTCATCAAGCGAGATAAGCTTAAGTAAAATACACATAATTTAGTAACTGACGCATTTATCTCAACTGAGAGATATGGGCCACCATAATAGCGTGTGAAAAAAAAAATTTTGAAAATTCAATCGTCCTACAAGCTGATAAAAAGTAACCTCAGCTTTATAAAAAATTATCATACTTGCTATTAAATAATTAACTAAGTTGAAATTAGCAACAGATTCTCACTAATATTAGACAATATTCAAGGTCCCTGGAAAATTAAAATTATGCCTGTTTGAAATCAGATTTTCAAATTACAATCTCGTTCCCAAGCATTCAACTTATTTCATTCACACTGATTAATTTGTCGTAAGAAACTAATTTGCACAATATATATATGTTTTTTTTTCTTTCTAGCTCTGTTCCTGTAGGTATTTCCGCTACATATTGTTCAAGTTTACCATCTTGTCAATTTTTACAACCTCTGTGTAACGGAAGTACTTACATTCCAAATTTAAATCATCGAATGTTATCATCGGATCATTCATCTTTCTTAACTAATTGTCCTAATTTATTACCAAATTCTGGATTAATTCAAACTCCCCCACCTGATTTTATACCAGAATCGATTAATTTACAATCATGTGAAGAGAATAACAATTTAATGAGAAATAACAATTGTCTTTTTTCAACTAATAATCATTTATTGGCAAATCTTCCACAAATTACAACATTGGATTTAACCAATGGTATACCCACACATACATCATCACGTGGTTTATGTTCAGGTGGCGGTTCAATTATCAGTGGACATAGCTCCGTAGACAATAACAATAGTAATAATAATAATACTAACAGTAACAGTAATTCACGTACTCCTGTAAATTCACATTCATCTCGAAGTGTTCACAATTCACCACTGTCCCCGGATCAACAATCATCATCAATTATGACAACATCAACAAATCATTCAGAAAATTTAGTGCCAAAAATTGAAAATCTATCACATTCACCTGTAGCTTATGGAATGAACGCATCATCGATTCATGAAATAGCTTATTTAATTAATGATCATACAACAAATGTTTAATTGTATGACAATGAATTATTGTTCTTCTTATACATAATAGTATTTATTATTTCACATCATTATTGATGTAGAATAATAATAAGTGAATTGTTTGTTTCTCTCTCTTTTTGTGTGTGCGTGTGCGTGCCTTAAACATTATTACACCTTAATCTCTGTTAATATGTGCTTTCTATTTTTCAAAATATCTATCTAGTCGTGTTTTTATGGTATTTATGAATTTTATTCTTCGTTTAATTTAGTTTTACTAAGTATCATTATTATGTGTAGGTAGTACAGTAATATGGGTTAGAAAAAGTCCACCCTCATGTATATATGATGTCATCTAACAAGTGCAAGAATACACCTCTTATTGCTTACTTATTTATCAAGCCAATAAATGGGAAATATCATTATTCTTCCCTATTGACCGTGACTAAAAATAACAATTTAAGAGGTTCAATCAACCGTTTTAAACATTCTGAACAATTTATACCATTATTTGGCCATAGTAAGATGCTTCATTGATATTAGACTCTATTAAGTAATGTAATAAGAAGAAAAATTTTAGAAATTAATTTACTCTAGCTAAAATGCTTTACTTCTGACTAAAAAGAAATTACATGATACTTGACTGATTACATTTTGATATTTTGTGAAAAACACAGAAAGACATGTAATCTTAAAGAACTGAAGAATGGATAACTACATACACTAACCTGATTGGTTCAGTAATAACCAGTTAGTTATAAACAATGTAAGAGTATGATAAGATTATTGAAAAATATCTCTGATAATGTTGTTAATAAATCTTTCATTATACGAACTGGAGAAATAAAAGCCTTGAACACAAGAGATTATGACATACTAAGGACAACTACTAAGAAGACTATGAATGACAATGAATGATCGTGAAGTTAGATTTTCATATTATACCCTAATGTTTAATTGCATATATGAGTTCCAAGTTGTAATCAACCGCGAAAATATTACTCATCAAAATAAGGGCTGCACGGAACATATTTCCCTCACATCAGAATGATAGTTCAAATTTAATCTATTGAAAAATTCTAACTTTATGGAAAGCCCATGAGTTAAGTATTTTTCTAGTTCTTTATTTGGAAAATAACAAACTGAAATGTCAGATAACATGACTTCACCAACTACTCACTAAATAGATAGCGCTCTGGAGGTGCTATTTGTTTCTGAAAAGCTTATATTTTTCTGACATATCAGGCAGAGAGCAAGAGAATCCAATATTCAGATCAATTTCAACCTTTCACCTAACTGAGTCCTATTTACTTCGTTCTGAGAAGAAAAAACACACATGATCTAGCACTGACAACATGGCATTTAATTCAGTCCCAATGTTAATAAAAGGAATGTCGCAAAAATTCATTCTTATTTCAGATTAAAGAGAGTTCTAAATTTCATCATGACATACTTTGTGTATTTTCTTCACTAAGGTTTTAAAAGTTACGTGGGCTATAGCAAAGTAAAATATGTCACTTCATACTGAGCTTTGATAATGTGGTGGAGTTACTCTTGATTTCTCTATTATTTTATCGAATAAAACCATAATACAACATATAGGAGCTACAAATTATTTTCATGGCACTAATGGTCAGTGATGAGACGTTTAGGCTGAAAACATTTTTATCTAAGAAACATATTCATCGTAATCATTATCTGTCAGTCACGATCTACACAGTCTTTCACCTTTTTCAGTGAAATAAAATCAATCTTCGAGTAATTGAAAACAAATACTGCACTACCATTTGTGTTTAGCAAAAAACCTAAGTAATACCATAGAATACACTGACGTGTCTCAACAGTTAGGATGATCAACAGCCACGGAGTCTTGATACAAACAAAGTACTCTTTAAAGTAAGAAAAATCTGCATTCGCTTCATTAATTGAGACGTCAAATAGTTTTAGATCGAGTAAGATTAAAACAATACGTTGTTTTAATGTGAAGCCATTAAACCCATGTTCCAGTTTATTATGCCAACTGTTAAGTATGTTTTATCTTTAAAATATTGGATATTCACAAAATGATACCTTGGTTATGTTGTAGATTTAAGAGGTCTTCAATGAACCCATCTATTGTCTTATCTACCCCGAATAGTGAAGGTAATGATCGTGGACGTTACAAGTAGGGCATTGTTGGTTCAGGTATCGCACCGAATAGACACATTGAAAGATAAGACCATTGATAATTTAAAGCAAGTCACTGAATTTAATGGAAACTCTTGAGAATCAAGTAACAGATCTGCATTTGTACCACGATTTTCAAAGCTATCAACTCCCTAAAAATGTGTAACTTGCGAGGAAAGCAGAGCAGTTTGGAAGGCCAACTACTTTACTCTCCAAAGTAAATTTAGCACCTGAGGTAATATTTTGCAGCTAAAGAACGTAAAATATATTACAAGCATTTTTATTTTGCTGCCTAAAGATGCTCCGTGGACTGTATTTCATGATTGTCCGTAAAAATACAGTGTCATTGATGAATCTCTAGATAAGAAGACTAACTCTGGTTAGTCGGTGAACCTTTATAACTCCTACGCTAATTAACGCCCATTTGAAGTATTAAGAAATAAATAGGCAGGTCACGTAACGAGTGAGTCATCGTATTCCAAATTATCTTAAATGCATATGTGAGACTGACCATTTATCTTGCCTCAAATGTCAGTCAGTCAGTCAGATGCAACGTAGAACTTTGTACATAAGTACATCAGTTCATGTTGCCATACCACATCAGCACAGAGAAGTAATCGTCAATTCAAATCCAATAGTAGAAGAGGTAGTAACGGTATTAGGAGTAATCGGAGAGGTTAGGATGAGAAGATACTATTCAAGAAGTATGATTCAGTGGGAAAAGTTTAGAGAGTCAAAACTAGAGGTGTTGAAGAATCCAGAAGATTAGGATTTGAGAGAACACAAAGAATAAATGCACTGGCGCCATTGCGAACGACTTTGAGCCATGTCATTCAAGGTCTCTAACCATCGATTATTATCATCTCGCAGACCCCAACCAGGTAGTCGACAATTACCGACATGGCTCAGTCCACTAGTCAATGACTTCTGCCATGTTTTGGTTTGGCCGCCCCTAACTTTCTTCCAACCTACTCCTACACTACAAAACAAGGCTCGTCGAGGCAGTCGGTGGTTCGGCATACGCAAGACATGTCCCAACCACCTCAACTGATGAAGTTTCACCACTTCATCGATTGCTCTCCCATCCTTACCTAGTACTCGTTTCCTAACGACAGCATTGCTCACTCGGGTGTCCCACGGTATACGAGCAATGCTTCGAAGACACCTATGATCGAAAACCAGTAACCTACGAATATCTTCTACTCTAACTGGCCATGTTTCACAGCCATATAGGAGAACGGAGCGAACTGCTGCACAGTACACTCGTCCTTTAATTAGAGAACGCATATCACGCCTACGCCATAAGTGACGCAGGTTGGCAAAAGCCAATCGAGCCTTCTGTATCCGAGCTGAGATTTCGTCAGTCACCAGGCCATCAGCACTGATGAGACTCCCAAGATAAGTGAAGCGGTCTACACGTTCGACTACTTCACTCCCTATCACTAGTTCAGGTGCGGATGCAACCCAGTCTTGAAGTAGCATTTTGCATTTCTAGGGGGAAAACCGCATCCCGAACATGCTTGCATTGTTGCTTAGGGTAGTCAGAAGACTCTGCATTTTGTCAGCGTCTTCACCAAGTAGGACAATGTCATCGGCATATTCTAAGTCGATAAGCGAGCCCCCTGGTAAAAGGTCTACTCCTGAAAATTCAGACGAGGACAATGTTATGTCTAGGAGCATGTCTATGACAAAATTAAACAAGAATGGAGAAAGTGGACATCCTTGACGGACACCACTTGAAGTAGAGAATTTTGGTGACAGTTCGCCATAAGCTCCCACTCGACCAGTGGTGTTCGAGTTGAAAGCTTGTTTAAGGTTAATGTACTTCTTTGGTACACCTTTCAATGACAGACACTGCCACAGAACCTCACGATCCACTGAATCGAATGCCGCCTTTAGGTCCAGGAAGACAACTATTGTAGGACGCCTAAATGTGTGTCTGTGTTCCAGGACCTGTCGTAGTGTGAAGATGTGGTCTATACAACCACGTCCAGGTCGAAAACCAGATTGGTTTTCTCGAGTTTGCTCTTCACGAGCTTTCGTTAAGCGTCGAAGTATTACTGAGGCCAATATTTTAGATACTATATTAGTTAGACTTATTCCCTTGTGATTGTCACAAGAAGACTTCTGTCCTTTCTTATAGATTGGGACAATCAGTGATTGAGACCAGTCGGATGGGATAACGTCCAGTTCCCAGATTCTACCTAAGATCTCAGTCAGCCTAGTTGATAAAACTGGACCACCATCCTTAAATATCTCAGGGGTCAGTCTATCAGGACCTGCAGCTCGTCCTCGCTTCAGATTTCCTAACGCTTTTTCAACTTCATTAAGACTAGGGGGACTTACGTCGATTGGCCATTCAGGATGAGTTTCCGGGCATCCATCAGATCGGTGGATGCTACTGAGATCCACGATTTCATTCTAGCCTTATGGTCAACCTTACTAGCAGATATCACTGCTGTTTCCACAGCCTTTTTGATATCATACCAACCTGCTTCTGGATGGGAATCGCTTAAATGGTCGCCTAACTTACTTTCTAGTTGTTCCTGAAATATTTTCTTGGTTTGATTATCATTGAGTAAAACCCTAAGAGGCTTTCTTACGGTGTCTTTCCTACGTCCAGTAAGCCTTAAACAGATACGAGCTCGCACTAGAGCATGATCTGAATCCAAACATGTGCCCCAGAACGAGCGACAGTCCTCTATCGAACCCCTCCATCGGTGGCTGATGGCGATGTGATCTAGTTGAGTCCAACGTTGAGACGACTTCGGGGGTCGCCAGGTCAACAGATGCTTTTCCTTATGCCTAAAGTTGGTGTTCGCTAAGAATAGGCGGTTATCTGAGCATAGTTGCAACAGACGGTCGCCATTGTCTGTTCTCTCAGTCGCTACACCATAACATCCACCAAGATGTCTTTCCTTTTCACCTAGTCTACCTACTTGAGCATTAAAGTCACCAGCCATTATTACTATATCAGAGCGCCTAGCTTTTTGGAGGATGTCCGAAAGCTTTCTGTAAAATTCATCTTTAACCTCGTCTGCACTGCAGTCAGTGGGGGCATAGGCAGATATGACGAAGAGGCAACGGCGAGTGTCCCTATCCTCCCGAGTCCTTACTGTCCCTCAACTGCTTTTTCATCCATTCCTTCCAAGCGTATATTTTACTTATTTTCTAGGTATAATTATTCACTTGCTTTTAGTGTGTATTTTACAAATAACTGTGTATTCATATCGGCACATATGTCTGTTGTCTACTTTCATTTATAATTTAATTCGCCATCCTTATTCTATATATTGGCTCTATTTATTCATATGCTAACTGGGACATAAGTGACCGTATTTACTGGTTGGGGTCCGCGAGATGATAATAATCGATGGTTAGAGACCTTGAATGACATGGCTCAAAATCGTTCGCAATGGCGCCAGTGCATTTATTCTTCGTGTTCTCTCAAATCCTAATCTTCTGGATTCTTCAACACCTCTAGTTTTTACTTTCTAAACTTATCTCATTGAATCATACTTCGTGAATAATATCTTCTAATTCTAACCTCTCCGATTACTTCTAATACCTTTAGTACCTCTTCTACTATTGGATTTGAATTGACAATTATATCTCTGTGCTGATGTGGTATGGCGACATGAACTGATGTACTTACGTACCAAGTTCTACGTTGCAACTGACTGACTGACTGTATTTTGGCTAGTAGTAGTCATCAACTATTCATTCATATCATCTATCAGCTAAGCCTTATGCATCTGAAGTTTGTGCTGGTGATGTTGGTCAGAAGGACAATGAAAGCTTGACAACCAAAGCATCCAGTTCAGAGAACGAAACACCACCACAATGGAATATACTTTTCCAGCACACTGCGTAGTTGACTCTTAATAATACTGTTGCACAATGGGGTTCGCGAAATTAAATAGGGAATTAAATTCAACCAGGATCAGTTTGAGGCTACAAGAATACAAACGCTGAAACTTAATGAAAAGTGGAAGGCGTTAACGAACATTATATGGTGTAGTTGATTCAGGTGACAGTTGGATGTAAATTGTGATCGGATCAAGTGGTTAAATCAGGGCTTTAATACACTGATGTACTTTTATGAGTGATGGTTTGGTCAGTTTAAACTTGATTAAGCTCAAGTACTTAACAAAGACAACTCAAACAAACTACAAGTTTTGCTAGATTGATGGTTTTCTAGTCAAACGACTTCGACTTGACTGGAATTCCCATTAAAAAGGAATAATTACTTTAAGAAAATACATATCACACTCTAGTCGAACATGAGAAAAACTGAACATTAGGAATTATGTTGCTTTATTATGCTGAAATTCTATATTATTTACACTAACGATTTCATTTTCAACTTCACAGCCAGAAAGTTTAACAGATTTTAATGGCAAGAGTCTCGGTTTGCACAAAATAGGTTCAACTGATTTCATTTCAATGCAAACCACTTGATCCGGAAGTATGTAATCATTGTCATCACTTGATGCCATAGATACTGTAGTGAAAATTTCACTATTGAATGATTAGTTTTCCTTTCTGTGGAAAAGAATTTAAAATAAATATGAAAGACAAGCGAAAAAATAGAACAAAAGTACAAATCTATGTAGAACAAATTAAGTGCAAATAATGGTGAAAAAAAGAGCAAAGGACTGTCTTGAAGTAACATTTCATAGGATATATGTGTAGCTAAAAATGCAAATTTATCAGAAAAATATGACTAGAAAATGCTAACAAATTCAGAAGAAATATACTCGATTAATCATTTAAAAAATCCGGGTCAATATAAATATTTTACGGTTTCATACAATGTGCAATATCCTGCATCAGCAAACTACACATTGATAAAACTAGGAGGCAGTTACAGAAAAGCAAACATGGTAAAATAGCCATACCAACAACAGCGCAAAACCAAAAGATTCAAAGAGCGACACGAAAAGACTCATTTATCCTAGAGGACTGTCACTCGTTCTAAGGCACATGTTTAGATTCAGATCATGCTCTAGTGTGTGCTCGTATTTCTTTGAGGTTTACAGAACCTAGGAAAGTTACCACAAGGAAACCTCATGCGGTTCTATTTAATGATAATAAATTTAAGATTATATTTCAGCAGCAAATAGACATTTAGGCGGTCATGTAGTAACTGATTACCATCCGGAGGCCGCTTGGAAAGATATCAAAAAGGCTGTGGATACAGCAGTGATATGTGCTAGCAAGGTGAAACATTAGGTTAGGGAGAAGCAGTGGATTTTAGTTGCATCTACCGAACTGACAGATGCTTGGAAACTCATCCCGCCTGGCTCTGAGTACGATGCGCGGCGGAGTGAGCTTAAGAGCAGACTGATAAGAAGCCTACGCAATAATCGCGAACCGTGGTGGGTAGCGAGATAAAAAGAAACAGAAATAGCAGCGGCAATACGTAACAGTGGACAACTGTTCAGACGTATCAATGAAACTGGTATCAGGAATCCGACTGTAAGTGAGACTTTTACCAGGAGACACGCTCGCTAACTTGGAATATGCTGATGACTTAGTCCTATTCGGTGAAGATGCTGACAAAATGCTGAGTCTTCTGACCACCCTAAGCAACAATGCAAGCATATTCGGGATACGATTTTTCCCCTCGAAATGCAAAATGTTGCTTTAGGATTGGCTTGCGTCCGCAGGTAAACTAGTGATAGGGAGGGATGCAGTTGAGCATATTGACCGCTTCACCTATCTCGGGAGTCTCATCAATACTGGCTTAGTGACCGACGAAATCCCAGCACGGATACAGAAGGCTCGATCGGCTTTTGCCAACTTGCGTCACTTATGGCGCAGGCGAGTTATCCGTTTGCTAACCAAAGGACGAGTGTACTGTGCAAAAGTTCGCTCCGTCCTACTATATGGATGAGAAACATGGCCGCTAAGAGTAGAGGACATTCGTTGACTGCTTGTATTCGATCTTAGGTGTCTCCGAGGCATTTCTTGTATATCCTGAGACAACCGAGTGAGCAATGCTGCCATTAGGAAACGAGTACTAGGTAAGGATAGCAGGTCAATTGATGAAGTAGTGCGACTCCATCAGTTGAGGTGGTTGGGAAATGTATTACAAATGCGCAACCACTGACTGCCTCGACGAGCTATGTTTTGTGGTGTAGGAGTAAGTTGGAAGAAAGCTAGGGGTGGCCAGACCAAAACATGGCAGAAATCCATGAAATCACTAACAACTGAACTGAGTCATGTTGGCAGATGTAGGCTACCTGGTTGGGGTCCGCGAGACGAATGTCTCCGATGGTTTGAGACCTTGAATGATATGGCTCAAAATCGCCTGCAATAGCGCATGTGCATTCATTCATTGTGTTATCTCAAATTCTAACGTTCTGAATTCCTCGTCATCTATCTTTCTCCTTCTAAATTTATCTCACTGAATTATACTTCTCGAATCATACCTTCTGTCCCTAATCTTCTCCATTACTGCTAATACTTCTACTATCGTTACCACTATTGAATCTGAACTGACAGTTGCGTCTCTGTACTAATGCGGTATAGCAGCATGAACAGATGTACGCACTTACGAAGTTTTACGTTGTAACCGACTGACTGACATCCCACGAAAAAAAAGATGGTGAACCACTTCAACTTCCACAGATACTCATCAGAAATGTCCGTTCACCTAAATTCATCGATAGAAACTTAGCATCAAGACTACAACTTGAAAAATTACCTACAGATCGAAAGAAACGTATTTCACGAATATCGAATTCAAAGAAGACAAATCTGCAGAAATCTTGAATAAGCGGACGCCAAAATATTTGGGGAAAACTTATTCAGCTGAGTTTCGTATTGTCAGGCCTATCATTCATGGGTGTGCTGAGGATAAACTCTAACTTTGGGTCGCATCGATGTCCATCTATATATTTACTTGCTCTTATAGGCCAGGTTAAACTCGTCACACAAAGCGAGCACTTCCTAAACGCACCTCAGAACATTACCGAGTGTCGCTTTCATAGGGGGAATAAAAAACCATCCCTGGAGTATCTGTATCTATATCTGACTCAAACCGTGTGTGCAAAAGAGATACATCTATCTGTTCATTATTCCTCGATCCTAACTCCCTCCCCTAGTATGTTTTAGTCTTGTCTTCGTTGGTATAATTATTTCACACTTTTTAAACCACAGTCGGTTGATATTTGCACCCAACAATTTTTCATGATTACTATTACCTTAAAATTTTTTATCACTTCTCTGTTAAGGGAACAGTCATTACCCACATTTATGACCTCCCTACTCTTCTCTAATCCTCAGATCGCATTATGATGCAATCTCTCCTATTCTCCTAGACTCACGTATTTATTAAACTATAAATATGAGTATATGGATTAAGTATAAAATTTCTTAGAAAAGAAACTTTTTTCGCCCAAATTTCTGAGTCTGTATTCACTGATACAATGAGTTGATGTAATTATAATAGTTAGATTAATCACATTTAGGTTACAGATAAGACAGTATTAGGACTTCAGTTTTCTTTTGCTTTATGTTAGTGGTATGACCTTTCGGTTATCAACAATTGAAGTAAAAGTCAGCATCCATCAAATTAATAAAGAGTAATAAAAAAATAAATCTTTTATTTTTCAAAAATAATCATTAACTAAGAAACCCTCGTATCTTTTATCACCATCATACTGGATTCATGTTTGATATATGATACAAAGGAATGGTCACAGTCCGTTAGTTCGATTTTGTGAGTTACATATTTTGACCAATCAACACTCTTCGTTTCACAGTTTATCAAGTTATTCGAATGAAATATTTCAGTGCCAGTACTTAAGGAATCATTTGGAACATGAATGTCAAGAGAATACCTCATGGTGATAATACAAAGAAGCTGAAAATCGGCAATCACGCGAAGTAAAATACCCATCAATATTGAATGTTGACTAACAAGACTTTTCCAAGAATTGTAGCGTAGACGTTCCAAGTATGTAAAAGCATTCATTGCACTAATCATAAGACAAGAAATCGGATGTTGTTTGATAACTTCCCTTGAGTAAGACAAAGCCAAAAGGAGTTCACAATCAGTAAACACACGAATAATATGAACCCTAGACAATATCTGTTAGAAGCAAATTAGGAGATTAGGAAACAAACTTCTTCTAAAAACACTTCATATTGGTTGTGCTCAAATTTTAAAGCAGGAATTTCGTTTTGTAAATATCTGCGAACAAACTCTCCAAACTTTGATGCATAAAATCGGCCGCCGCAATCAATAAGAAGACAATGCGTGTTGTAACCATTCAAATGAAACCCACTGAAAGTTTTGGGAAGGACGCATCGCATTAACTTCAGGTGTAAAAAGCTAAAACATTCACAGTAATATGGTTGGCAGACTTCAATCAACGATTTCCCACTTTGTGGGGCATATTGGTTTGGAAAATAATCAGACAGCAGAGAATCGATGTAAGGTCTGTTCTGAGAGCGGACCAGCAGCTACAAACTCAGAATGAGAAATAACAAAAAAGAAACACTAAACACAACATAATCGAGAAGACTAAGAACTGGACCAAAACGTTACGAAGACAGTTTCAGAAGAAATAAGCACACACTGGATTCATTATGATGTTTTTACAAGCAGATGTGGTTGCTTTTCTTAAAGGCCATAAAACATAGTTTTTCTTTAATTTTTTTAAATGAGACAATGAAACTGTATCACCTTATCCCAGTAAGTGTGATGACTCTGAAATTCCAGGATAATCTGCAAATTATATCAGACATTATCTGAACAAGATGCTATGCACTATATATCCCCACCGTAGCTGCTACCTTGACGTGGTGGTCCGGCTTGCCTATCGTGATCACCCAACCGAGCTATATTGGCTGGAACATATGTTCCTCTAGGTCCTCTAGGAATGTCGACTGAAGAATAAAAGCAGCGACTCAGGGTCTGAGGGTGAAGTCATACTGTTGACTGTAGAGGGGTGTGACAGAAATGTGTTTCCCACGGACAACCAGCATCTACAGAGATGTTGCCTTCTCACAAGGAAGGGAGGGTTAAAAAAGGTCGACCCTAAGAATGTCACACATCGCCTTACCTTATGGATTTCCGTAAGGCCACTTGAATGGTAGACCTAACACTACACAATGTTCCCATAAAAAGGCCGTGTGACCGGCCTCAAGCAGTTGTCCCTTGGGCTTTGCGGTCACGCGCTCAGGTTGCTCAAACCTACGCGAACCCGATTTCATTTTCAGGTTCCTCAAGAAGTTCCCTTCTAAGGTGTGGGGAGCCGCGAAGTGAAATCCGTACTCATACCCGTAAAAGAACGCGAGAGTGAATCGATCACAATCAAATCCTTCCTATACCTCTTAATAACTCTCGACTCCATTACCAATCCTTCTCCCATTTCTTTGTCACCTCGCGCTTCTGATGTAAACGAGAAGTTATTCCTGGTCAACCTGAAACCCCACTCGACACTTCATGTTGGTGCTTTTAATGTTTGAACATGAAGTCAAATAGGGCAACAGGCTTCATTAGCTACGACCCTGGAACGCCGTGCAATCGATGTATGCTGTGTCTCCAAAATGCGCATACAGAATCCTAGTAAAATCATTAATTTGGTTTCCCCTCGTGCAGATAAAGAATCGACTCGGTTTAAGTCTACGCAATAATCGCGAACAGTGGTGGGTAGAGAGATAAAAAGAAACAGAAATAGCAGCGGCAATAGCTGACAGTAGACAACTGTTCAGACGTATCAATGAAACCGGTATCAGGAATCCGACAGTAAATGAAACTATTGCGGTAAAGGATGGGCTTATTATTCATTCTCAATCCAGGAGATCGGATCGATGGGCAGAACACTTAAGGGATCAGTTCGAATGGTCTTCAGCAACACTTCAGTTGCCCACGATCTCCAGTCAACCTGAATGCCAAGTCGACGTAAGATCTCCGAACCTTTATGAAGTTGAAAAAGCGTTAGGAAATCTGAAACGAGGAAGAGCAGCGAATCCTGATAGGCTAACTCCTGAGACTTTCCAGGATGGTGGTCTAGTTTTAGCAGCTAGATTGACTGAGATATTGGGTAGAGTCCGAGAACTGGACGTAATCCCATCTGACCGGTCTCAATCACTGATTGTCCCAATTTATAAGAGGACAGAGGAATCAGTCTAAATAATTTAGTATATAGAATATTGGCCTCAATAATACTTCGGCGCCTAACAATAGCTCGTAAAGAGCAGACTAGAGAGAACCAATCTGGTTTTCGACCTGGACCTGGCTGTATAAACCAAACTTTTACACCACGACAGGTCCTAGATCAAAGACACAGATTCAGACGCCCCACATTAGTAGTATTTCTCGACCTTAAAGTGGCATTCGATTCCGTTGATTGTGAAGTTCTATGGCAGTCTGTCATTAAAAGGTGTACAGGCTCCCTATTCGAACACTACTGGTTAAAATATTGGAAGTAGTCTTCAAAACGCCCACTGTGACCTTCGTGAAGACTAACTTGTCAAGCAGTGAACACAGATTCAGTAAATAATTAGTTTTAACTAGTCTTCCATAGCGAAAGGGATAGGCGAAGTTGTGTGACAGAAACAAGTAAACATTATCGAAACTGACTTTACCAAAACATTTGGTAAGATTTTGCATATTATTTTCCTTCAAAAACTGACAAGATGTACAGTTTATGGACATCTTTTAAAGCGATTGAATTACTCTTTAGTAGGTTGTTGACCGAAGAAAAAAAATTCAAATGTTTATACTATGTAACAGTTAGTTCAGAGATTTTTCTTACGGTTTAGTGACTTTTTGGATGATCCAAAATTTTTCTCAAAAAAGGAGAAACTTAGTGATTTTGTTAGGAACTAGCCCTGAAAACGTCATAGTCAAATAAAGTTTACTGATTCGATGAATCAGGAAAGAAACTTCAAGTGGTAAATTGTGTCCAAACACTGTATTAGCTTTAAAGAGGTAGGTTGGTAAATTTGACAGAATGCGACTTAGTTTTATTTAGTATACTGACTACAACTGAAGTAATATTTTGAGCTCATGTCCATGTACAAACGATCGTACGTATACAAACATAAACTCCACACTAAACAGTGTCCAGAAAACTTACTGACTAAAAAAATACGCCAAACTCCCTCGTTTTTACCATGAATTATTAAATATGGATATGGGTATGTAACTTGAACTTACCATGGATCCAGTCTCAACCGAAACACTAGCAGAAGCCATGGAGACGATGTAAAGAAGAGCCGCCAGGAGCTTTCAGTATCCAATATCTTTTTGAGTTAGTAGCAACTAATTGAATTGATTCGTATTCTTTAGGTAAGGTTAAACGCTGAAGAAACGAAAATATAAAGTTTGTCTTGGTGTAGTTATTTATAAAAAAGTGGGGAAGATTTTTACTAGACATACGTGTCCGATTTTGTCAAGGTTGATGGCTGAGACATATTCGTCAAAAAAAGGAATTGATGAGGTAAGTGTGTATTGCTCTTTTTGATTCCCTTCGCCAGATAATGTTGTGATGAGTGTCGATTTGCGATTGACTATGATCTCCATTACGGACCGATTTAGTGCCAATTACTGAGTTAAATCCTCCCGTAGGATTGAGACGATTAAGAAAACAGGATCGGGGAATGGAGATATATTTTTTGACCAACAGGGAGTGATCCATGATGCCCGGGTTGTACCGAAGGTGTTTTACGGTGAGCAGTATCAGGAGTAACGTGCTATATTTTTTGCTGGAGTTGGTGTACTACACCGGCGTGATTTTAATCCAGAATCTGGAGATCGCGTTCATAGGGGTTCGGACCAGAAAACGCTGCAGACGTATGACGGAACCAGATTGATCCAAAGACTCAGAAACGACCATAATGACCAAGCTCTAGACCATACGTATGCCAGTCCTATTTGGAACCACGACATTGACTAAGCAGATTGATAAGAACGTGGGTGAGCAGGCGAGCTTTCGCCAAGATTGACTGAATTCGACGGCACCGATGGGGCGGTGGTCGAATGCGTGGGCTCAGGGTAGGAAAATCAAAGAAAAAAAGGTAGGTGTAGTATGCATGTAGTATTGGTATAAGGTCTCTGAGGTATCTAGCGTGTGGTCGTAGGGAGACATGGTGATCCCGTTAGTGAGTTGGTCTAACAATGAATCTCGCTTCATCAGGTAAGTCAATGTCATCGACGTGTGCTGGTTTGAGACGATCAATGCTGACCATGTCGGTTAACCTTGTAGGCCTTTTCGTGACGAGATATCAGGTGTAAAGATCCTTCGTAAAGCTGTTGCTGTAGTTTACATACGTAATATGTTACCGATAAACTTATTGAAAGTTTGAGCAGCATTCCGTGATCCGAATGGCATTTGTAGGAACTCAAACAGACCGAAAGGAGTCGCGATAGCAGTTTTCTCGATGTCCTCAAGAGCGACTGGGATCTGATGATTTGGTCGCACCAGCCCGATCTTGGGATAAATAATCATGTCTTGCATGTGGTGGATGGGGTAGCTATCAAAGCATGTAGCTGCGTTTAATGCTCGGTAGTCACCGCATATCCCTTTGTCTAATCATGTGAAGAGGAGAGGCCCAGGGTCCGTGAGAAGGACGAATAATACCTGTAGCTATAAAACTTCCGAATTGATGTTTAGCGAAAGCTAATTTGTCCGGGGGAAGTCACCGAGGTTTCGCCATAGTAGGGCGACGCGGGTGGTGGTGTACCTCACAATTAGTCACCGAAGGTATCTCCTCGACAGTTTTAGTTAGCTAGAAGAATTTCCCTATTAAAACACGGAATATTTCCTTAGGCAAATAGAAAACGCCTGTGATTCTGTGCTCAATTTTTTTAAGCTTTATGACTCATGTATTTACTGTTATACAAAGTATCGATTGGCTGCACCCTACGTGAGTCGAACAGCAGTTTATAGAGCAGTAGCGCAATCGGTATCGAGTATGGTGGTGGGAACATCAGTGATGACGAACATCCAGGGATAGTGCCGTCGGTTTCTCAGGTAGACCGTAAGCTGTTGTGTGCCGTAGGTAGAAATGACTGAGCCATTCGTAGCCCGTAGTCGAAGGATCGTAGCTTCGGACTCGCTGTTACCAAGCGGTACGACAGAAACTTGGGCACCTGTATCTACTAGGTACCTAGCGTTAGTGCGGTAGTCGTGTACTTAAAATAAGCGACCCACCTGAGGTGACAGACCAGCGAGTACGGCCGCGTTTACTTGCCGGCAGGGGATTTTCCCGCCATTGTGTGAGCAGGAGCCTCGACAGTTGCGGGCACTGGACCCGAGGGTACTGTGGAACCAGCACAAACAAGTACTTACCTCAGAAGATGACTTTTTGTGTGACTTGCAAGATGCCCGCTTGGAGCAAGCGACTCACTAGTAACTCCACTACTCATGAAACACTCAATTATTTTAGCTTAGCAAGACATTTGTTCAATACATGCCTTACCAACGCCCGTTCGACCGGTAATAAAAAGACGTATATATTGATGCTGTGACTGCTTACCGATGATCACTGATAACTGGGGCATGAACCACCAGTAATATTTTTAATGATAGTCTATCGGCTGAAAACCGTGATCTGTTTCTAAGTGACAGGTTGAAAGGACGAGATAGAGGATGTCTCATTTATGCCCAATCTAGCCTAACCTCACCAATATGTGTTACGCCTGAACTAAACAAATTACAAAATTCTTTGTGGGTCGTTCTGAAACCCTCAAATGAAATTTCTTTTACGTTCGGCTCTGTCTACCGTCAGTCTAACGCGTCAACAGATCTAGAATATTTTCAAAAGTATTCACGTTTGATTCATCCCTAGCATTTACAGGCAAGGCTTTTTGTGGGACTTCAATATATCTGAAATCTCTTGATTCCCAGTCGCATCACCTCAAAGATTTGAATAATATATTGAATGTTTAGAGCTTGGAGAGTGGACTCAACAAGTGGACGGCCCAACCATACATCAAAATTTATTGGATTTAGATTTCACCAGCAACCTTATTCCAATACTGTTTATATTGGAAAAACGTTCACAGTTAGTGAACATAATATCGCTATATGCAGTATTGGTATGATAGCCACAACTATAAAACGTAAATCTAGTACACTTCCTAGATATGTAAAGGTGCTAACGTCCACCAAGGCATCTCCATCAAGAGTTATTTGGTTAGCGCATGTTGTGTTGTATCGCACAATCTTACTTTTCCCTTTGTATATGTTGAGACCTACTGCTGCTGAAGCTGCTTCTACATTGGTCCTCCCCTCTTACATTTGTTGTTGCGTGTGCGGTTGAAGAGCCAGATCATCTGCGAAGTCCAAATCGTCCAGCCGCATTCTAGCTGTCTATTGAAAAACCGTGCTTCATAACCCAGCCGATCACCAGGAGAAAAAAAACGGGTGACAGTAAGCAACTTTACCTGACACCTGTCTTCACCTCGAAAGAGTCTGTTAGCTGACCTCTGTGCACGATTTTGCAGTTTAATCCATCATAAGGATTCCGTATGATGTTAACTATTTTCTCAGGCACACTGTAGTGTCGAAGAAGAGTCCACAGTGTTTTCCTATCCATGCTATCGAATGCCTTCTCGTAGTCGATGAAGTTGATGTAGAGTGGTGAGTTCCATTCAATTGATTGTTCCACAATGATCCGTAATGTAGCAATTTGGTCAGTACACGATCGATCCTTACGAAATCCGGCCTGTTGATCTCGAAGTTGGTCGTCTACGAAGTCCTTCATTCTGTTTAACAATACCCTATTGAAGACTTTGTCTGATATTGAGAGAATATTGATGCCTCTGTAGGACCCACACTTACTGAGATCTCCTTTCTTTGGTAGTTTGATGAGGTATCCTTTTTTCCAATCTGATGGTACTTGTTCCTCATCCCAAATCTTCTTGAAGAGGATTGAAATATTTTCGCAGTTGCTTCTACATCTGCTTTCATTGCCTCTGCTGGAATGTTGTCTGGTCCTGCTGCTTTGCCGCACTTGATTTGTCTGATGGCCATACTGATCTCCTCAATTGTAGGTGCGCCAATGTTAATTGGGAGGTCCGTGGATGCTGCTTCGATTTCTGGTGTGTTCAGTGGAGCTGGTCGATTCAATAGTTCCTTAAAGTGCTCTACCCACCTATTTCGCTGTTGTTCAGTGTTGCTGATTACTTTGCCTTCCTTGCTTTTCACTGGTCGTTCTGGTTTACGATAGTTTCCGGCGAGCTTCTTTGTTGTTTCGTACAATTGTCTCAAGTTTCCTTCTCTTGCAGCCTTTTCCGCCGTCATTGCTAGATCTTCCACATATTTTCGTTTGTCAGCTTTGATGCTCTTCTTCACTTCCCTGTTTGCTTCTGTGTATGCAGCTTGTGCGGTAACTTTCTCCGCTCTTGTTCGGCTGACATTCACTGCTGCCTTCTTGTTCCTCCTTTCCTCAATTTTTGCAAGAGTATCAACAGAGATCCATTCCTTGTGATGGTACTTCTTGTGACCAAGAACTTCGTGACATGTTGAAGTGATTGCCTCCTTAATCCCTTTCCAATTGTTCTCCAATGTTGCGTCCTCTCGATTGTGTAGATCCTGAAAGGCCTGGAACCTATTTGTGAGGGCTATTCTGAATTCGTTGAGCTTTACAGTATCCCAAAGAAATGCCGTATTAAACTTGTGTGACTTTACCTGCCCCGTTGTCCAGTGCTTCTTTAGTTTCAGTTTCATTTTGGCGATTAGCAAATGGTGATCTGAGGCTACATCAGCTCCTCTCCTGGTTCTCACATCCTCCATAGTCCTTCTGAACTTTTTGTTGATACAGATATGATCAATCTGGTTTTGAGTAGTGTGATCCGGTGAAATTCATGTGGCTTTGTGAATGCGTTTGTGCGGGAATATTGTGCCACCGATGACCAGTTTGTTGAAGGCACATAGGTTTGCAAATCTCTCACCGTTTTCGTTTCTTTCTGCCAGTCCATGTCGTCCCATTATGTCTCCATATCCAGTGTTGTCCATGCCAACTTTTGCATTTACTTCTCCCATAAGAATCGTCTAATCCTTTGGTGAACATTTCTCGACGATTGACTGCAGCCTTCCGTAGAATTGATCTTTAACGTCGTCATTGTAGTCATTGGTAGGTGCAAAACATTGGATGACGTTCATTGTAATGTCCTCTTTCTTTGTTTTGAAGGATGCTTTAATGATCCTGGGTCCATGAGATTCCCATCCTATTAGTGCCTTTTGTGCATGTTTGGACAGCATCAATGCAACTCCTTGTGTATGTGAAGCATTTTTCTCTCAGCAGTTCCCCTGAAGCTAGTCTCAGTTGTCCTACTTGTGTCCAATGTGTTTCACTGATTCCAAGCACCTCGAGGTTGTATCTTTTCATTTCTGCCGCAACTTGAAATAGTCTTCCAGTCTCCCACAATGTACGAACGTTCCATGTA